CATATTTTTGGACAAGGACACAGGTTTCATAATTTTGCTTCTGGACATCCCCACGGTGGATTTAAAATGGAGCAGTCTAGAGCTGACTGAAGCGCAGACCTTAATGCTTTAGTTAAACTAAATGTTTACATTAGTGGTTTAATAACAATTTAACATAATCCATCCTTTTACTCAGGCTTTGAGATTTACAAGGCAAACAACTGACAGGATCATTTTATGTTAACAAAGTCTAGAGTTCATTGAATCTGAATTTGGCAACTGTTCATCGGAAATTCCAATATGTAATCAAACAGTTGTCAACGCAAGTGAACGAGGTAAAAAGCAAAAACCAGAACACACTTAACAGGGAGAGAGAAGAAACTTTATGAGCAGCAAATCAGCAGTTTGCTACATTCTCAGAAAGACCAAATGCACTTGTGAGCACTCTCAGAGCAAGAATCTTCCAACTGGGAGGCTCTCTGTGTAGAGTCTGCAGGTTCTACCTTTGTTGGTTCTGTCCATGTAAGTATGATAGATGGACCGATCCAATATTACGTATCGGTCCGATACTGATGTAAATTACTGGATTGGATATAGGAGAGAAATAAAAAATGTAATCCGATCCATTAAATATCAAAAAAAGCACCTCACAAAACTTGCGACACGGCGTAACTCGGCTCATAACCGTAGCACGTCGGAGCAGTGTGCTCACGTGATAGAGCGGCTGTGTGTATTTGTAGCCTCGCTACCAAACCAGCATTTCATCTCCGAGGAAGTTATCCCAGAGAGAAGTAAAGCAAGTGTGCAAGTTCATCTCTGAATGTTTGTAAAGCATTCCCACGTTAAGCTTAACAACCGATATATGGAGCGACTGCCTCTTCTTGCTGCTACTTCAATCGTGAAACTGATTAATGATCAGCTGATCGGCTTTTCTGTCGCGAGTCCGTCTCTCTTGTTTGTTTTTGGCCCACTTTGCACCAGAAAGAGGAAACCAGCGGCTGAACAACAGCAGCACGTTTAACCTTGATAAGCTGTTGTTAGAATTTATTTAATATTACTTTCTACACCAGGATCTTTTTCTATGTAGCTGACGGCTGGTAACTGTGCAGGGGCGGATCTAGCAAAGTTTAGCCAGGGGGGCCGATAGGGCATTAACAGGGAAAAGGGGGCACAAAGGCTACGTTCACACTGCAGGTCTTAATGCTCAATTCCGATTTTTTGATCAAATCCGATTTTTTTTGTCTGCTCGTTCACACTACAAATAAAATGCGACAGCAAACGCGCTCTAGTGTGAACGCTCAAAGCGGCCCGCATGCGCAAAAGAAGACATCACACACAATGCGCTCTGTTTAGACCCAGAGCAAACTATATTGTTTGACTGATGGCCCTTAATATAAAGACTTCGGACTTCATGTTTCCCAATTTTTGCTTTAAGTTATTTTGTTATTTACATAATAATGTAGATAACCTAATAATGATCCTTATTGTTGTTTTAGAGGAGCGCTGCTTCAAAGGATAGTTGCAGATTTCTGTCAGAATCTGCAGGTTATGCGGTACAAATAAAATGTTCACGTTTCTCCAACGTTGTCTTCCCAGCAGTCTCACCGGATGGCCAGGAAGCATTTGCAATTTCTTCTCGGGTGCTTCTCCGGCGCTGATAATTGGCGTCTGTCTTGTGTCAGTGACATAAAAGACGGATTTAATGCGACATGACCGTTCACACAGCAGTTGCTTTCTGAAACATCGGATATGTATCGGATTCAGTACCACATACGAAAGTGACCCAGATCGGATTTGAAAATATCGGATTTGTGCCGTTCACACTGTCATACCATGATCGGATAGATGGTCGCATAGGGTCAAAAAAAAAAATCGGATTTGATATTTGATGCGCTTTCGCCTGCAGTGTGAACGTAGCCAAAGACATACTTTTCTTTCTTATTCTCATTTAAAATGTCTAGCTTTTAATAAATAATTATCTGAATCTTACACCCAAAGTTTTAATCTTGTGTAAAATATATAGAGGTCCATTACTGTATATAGTAACTGTTAAGTCTAATATACCCTAGTAATATACCAATACCAATTCCATGTGCAATAACTCAACTGTATATACATAACACTATTTATTACATATTACTTACGGCTTGTATATTGTACATTTTATATATATATGTTTTTCCCTTTGTTAATACTGTCCATATGTACATAGCGCTGCAGAACTGTACCCCCCCAAGCATGTTTACACTGAGTAGGAGATGCTCTGTATCTCATTGTACAACTGTATAGTGACAATAAAGGCATTCTATTCTATTCTAAGCTTTACTACTTTTTCCTTTGGGAAGGTACAATCTGTGCAGTCTGCAGTTCTGTTGAATAAAGATGTTGAATCTATTTAATTATTCTTGAAAAATAATTGATTTCTGTGCATTTTGTTTTCACACTGCATCAAATTAAAGTTGATTACGTCGATTAAGCATCATGAGGTGGAGGGTGGGGGGTGGTTTCCCTATTATTTTTTTTTGCTGGGAGTTTGCAACCCTATTGGTTAGGTTGCTTAATATTTCTGCTAAGTACTCTTTAAAACACCAGAATAGGAAGGATTGAGTAGGTTTAAGTTTATTAGATTGATCAGTATTGCTGAACTATGAAACATTTTGGGTGCAGTGTATTTTTTTTTTTTTCTTTTACACATACAGGTATAACAGAATAGCTTTAGTGTTGTTGTTTATTTAAACTTGAGTATGAACATATACAAAATGCAGCAATATATAAAAAAAAAATGTTTTATTGATTAAAAATAAAAACACAATATATCGGATTCATATCGATATCGGCAGATATCCAAATTTATGATATCGGTATTGGACATAAAAAAGTGGTATCGTTGCCATCTCTAGTCAGTATGAATGGCAGGACTCGCAAAAAATTTTCAGTTGGGCTACCAAAATCTATCTCTGCCCTGCCCGTCGGGCTATATAGGAAGGAAAAATATATGTCAATGCTTTTGCATTCTTTCGAAATGTAGCTGGGTAATTATGTCATTGGCATCGGTGAGCCACTGTCAATATGTGACATATTGAAATCGGTTTGAATTTGCGCTTGTTTTTTTGCTTTCACTTTGCAATCGTGCGAACTGTGTATAGAGAGCGACAGCACTGATCTGTGAGTGATGATAATTTGCGCACCAATTCCTCTGACATCGTCTTATTAATCGTTAGCTTACTATGCAAACATGACAAGTGAAATCTCCCGCAGCTTAAACATGTGAGAGGTTGATCGCGCAGAGAATCGCTGAGCTTATGTGAGTCGTGTGTAAAAGCAGCAGGATATATATTTTAGTTCTGCTGAGCCAAATAAGACAGGTCAGGGTGAAGAAGTGACAGCCAAAGAAAAGCTTACCACAAAACGGAAAGTTATGACAAATCAGACTATAAGGCAAAAAGAAAGTGCAGCTTTATGGTTTCATGGACAAAAGAATTTCTGTGGCTGCAATATGACGAGCTAAATAACCAGGGCTGCACATAAGTGGTCCGCAGGTGCGCATTCGCTGTCAAAATAAAAAACTACGCACAAGATAAGAAGTTGCAACGCGTGTTTGCGTACATAAGATTTTCTGGAGGAGGACAGACATTTGTTTAGAACTCTTAAAGATGTCGAAGAAGCTCCTTTAAGCAATTACTTTGTGATGTTCCTCCACCTCCAAAAAATGTCGAAGGAGTCCGAACCACAAAAGAAGCACGTATTCTCGGAAAAGTGGTTGCAGGAGGTGAGCTGGCTTCAAACAAATGATGAACGCACAGAGATGTGGTGCAGAATGTGCCGTGAAAATCCCACTCTAGCGGACAAAAACAGTGCTTTTATATGGACGCAAACGCGCGTTGCAACTTCTTATCTGGTGCGCGTCTTTTATTTTGACAGCGAATGCGCACATGCGGACCACTTATGTGCACCCGTGTAAATAACATAATGTTCTGCCGGGTGTGTTGTTGGTTTTCTCTCGATTTCTGAGTCGACAAGCGCCTTTGTTACTGGGACCAGTCATTTTAAGAAAGGCCCCCATTAGAACCCATGAGAAATGCAAGAAATGCATTATTGCTCAGTCTGCAATATCTTTCCCAGAACAAACACCAATTGCAAATAACATACTAAAAATAAACCTGAAAAATCTGTTTAGAACAGCGTACTATGTTGCAAAGAGTGAACTACCACTGGCAAAATTTAGCAGTCTTTGCAAACTTCAAAAAGCAAATGGCCTCGATCTTGGTTCCACTTGTCTCTTACCCGTGACTTCAGTGGAAATTTCAAATTCAGGATCTGACACAGACTGATTCATGTCCTACACAGTTCTTACAAGTTCATAGAAATTTCTGTTCAATTAGAACCAAGTATTTGAGTTGATGATTGTAATTTTTATACAATGTTGTAATTTGTGTTTCAACAATTTTTTGAGTAATGTTTTGTTTTCTGTTACAATATTATACTTTAATGTATAATATTGTAACGCAAACAAAACAGGAAACAAAACATCAATCAAATAATTGCTCTCTTTTTTATTCGGGCTACTTAAATTTATTTTGGGCTACCAAAAACTGAAGAGTCCCTGCCCGTAGGGCTACCAGGGATTTTGAAATTTTGCGAGCCCTGAATGGTTATCCGTGAGTTAGTCCACAGTGTGCAGGGTGTACCCTGGCTCTTACCCTGTGACAGCTGGGACAGGCTCACCAACACTGAAATCTGAAAATGTGATTATGTACAGAGGCAAAATAACACAACTGTGCTGCTATTCCAGCTTTTATAGGTACGTAAGTATGTATGCAGCAGCGGCTGTGACAATTTTCATGTGAGTCTCATAAAGGACGACAGACAAAGCATGTTGTACAGTTGTGCACTGTACCAGTAATCTATGTCAGTTTCCATACTGATCCCAGCCAACTGAAAGCCAGAGCAGTCTGAACAACTGTCTGGCACTCTGATAGGATATGACAGATGCCAGATTTGCAACCCGAGAAGCATCTCACCTCTGGAGTTTGGGATGCCGGTGGAGTCTTCCTCTTCTGTTGTGCCATGAAGCAGATTAGAGAATTTGTCTCTGGGGACCCCCGGACGCCAACACTGGACCTCCGCCTGGCTTTCAGCTGTGCTAGACGAGACTTATCTGTCAGGAGAGAGAGAGAGGCTTGGTGCTAGACTAACACTCAATCAAGTCCATATAACCTGCTCTGGACACCTTTACTTGCTCTCCACCAGTTTAAAAGCAACAGTAGCTGCAGCCAAATAACGAACCGTCCTCTCTCACCTTTGCGATTTGATGATGCTGCTGGGGTAAAACTCTGCACAGAGATGCCAAACTGACTTGGGGTGAGCTCAGAAAAATTCAGGGGGGCTGAGGTTTGATTTAAAACTGAGGGGGTGTCCTCTACTGAGGGAGGCGACACAGCTCCCTCCTGATCACCCTCACAGGAGACAGTGCTGATCTCTGCTGTAGCCATCTGCAATGAGAACATAAGCACGACTTATAAATGAAGTGCAAGAGAACCACAAGGACAGGTAGAAGGTCCTAGAGGAAACATGGATAACAAAAGCACCCGACTAAGTCGCATGCATTTCCATAACAAATGATTTCTGATGGAACGCGTGCTTTTAGACGAGTGCTGAGAACAGGATTTCACCCGTTACAAAAAGAAATCCCTCCAGGGGCATGCTAACACAGACAAACACATGAAGATTTACTCAGGAGCATTTGCACACGCTCCACAGTAACAGCGTGTAATGAGTAAAGAACTAGAAACGGTCAGGAGCGGCGGGTAGCTGCGCTTACATTCCTATCTCCCTGGGTTAGCACTAGCAACGGGCAACAAAATATTAAACCCACACGAATAACGCTAGTTTGTGAAGACTTTACTCATCGCTGGCTAACAGTAGTAGCAGCGGCGGTGTCACTACAGTGACAACAAGTTTAAAATCTTACCTTGTGGATTTAGATACTTTGGTTGTCTCTCGTTAAAAAATATATAAAAGAACACTCGGGTCTTTTATGTTATAAAAAGAACACAACTGTCTTAACGGACGTTTATAACAATATAAAAAGACTTTTAAAGAAAGAGCAGAAGGCGATTCAAATCCCCCTCCACACCAGAGCCAGAGACCGCGTATAGATCCCTCCGCGAAATTGTCAGCAACGTTCGTGACTGCAGTTATATATTTTATTTTTAAGTATATTGCTGGGAAATTTAAAATATGAATAAAAATGACTCAGTTAAAAAAAATATAGAAAAAATATTGGTAACAACTGACAAAGTGTAGAGGCCTAACTAACTTCCGTATTTTCAAGCACTTTGAAAGCGGCCGGAACTCGTTTAATATGAATTGGCCAATTGAAATGAAAGAGAGATACCACGTGACTGTCTAACGTCAACAGAGAAAATAGGGTTGCTATTAAAAAAGTTTATTTTACGAAGCAAACACTTGTTTGTTGCCTAGGAAAAAAGAACTTGTTTTTTTATTATTCATTTTCATTTTATTTATTTTTTTAACAGCGTTCTTGCTGTACTCCCTCAACTCTGCAAGGCCACATCTGCTGTTGGGTGCTCTGAAGCCCAGCTGCTGGAACTTAACTGGATCTCTCTCAAATTTAAATATCCACTCTGTAAGTAGACAGGCTCCTGTGCTTTTAGCATATTCTTCTTGAAAATTGCTTATTTATTGTCACACACATGATAAAGATGTGGGCTTTGAGTCAGAAAACGAAGCACGGTACACAGGCTGCTCATCTTTTCACAGTTAAATTGTAAAATTGTAGTAAATTGACCACAAAGCTTTCATTTACATTTACACTCCACCAAAAAATTAAAACAAAAGCCCAAAATGAATGCCACAGTGGGAAAAGCAATATTTAATGCATTTTTTTTAATATTAACACATTTTTTGTGTTTTATAATGGTTTAAAAGAAGGCTCGGTAAGCCTAAACAAATATATAACCCCAAACAGGTGGGTGAACAGTGGTCTACTGCTGAAAAGCTCTGTAAACCCTACCCACACACAAACAATCTCAAACACACACGGGGCTCCTCCTTTTGTGAGGTTTGAGAGTCTGTGGTGCAGCTGAGTACACTGAGATCAGATGCAACTTTGAGCCTCTTTCTACAGCTGGGACTGCCGACCACATGAAGCATGTGCCTTCTTCTGCTGACACCAGGAAAGGCTGTACAAGTCAGAGGGAAGCTTCACTGTTGTTTTTGTGCTGCACAGGATAGGGCAAGAACCACACTATATTTCCAAAAGCATTCACTCATCCATCCAAACTGAATTCAGGTGTTCCAAACACTTTAGCGGATGCTAAAGTACATATTGTGCACAGGTCACCGCCTTTCTGCAGAGTCAGTCACTACTGCCCTCCAAAGTAAATGTGGCCCTCAGATAAGCTCAAGAACAGTGTGTGGAAAGCTTCATGGAATGGGTTTCCATGACCAAGCAGCTGCACCCAAACCTTACATCACCAAGTGCACTGCAAAGCGTTGGATGCCGTGGTGTAAAGCACGACATCAATGGACTCTAAGGCAGTGGAAACGTGTTCTCTGGAGCGACAAATTATGTCTTTCTTTTGCACTACGATGAAAGAGTCTGGGTTTGGTGTAAAATTTGGTGGATGGGGTTTTATGATGTGCGGTTCTTTATCGGGAGATGGGCTTAGTGGCAGTGAAAGGAGCCCTTAATGCTTCAGCATACAGTGGGGCAAAAAAGTATTTAGTCAGCCACCGATTGTGCAAGTTCCCCCACTTAAAATGATGACAGAGGTCAGTAATTTGCACCAGAGGTACACTTCAACTGTGAGAGACAGAATGTGAAAAAAAAATCCATGAATCCACATGGTAGGATTTGTAAAGAATTTATTCGTAAATTAGGGTGGAAAATAAGTATTTGGTCACCTCAAACAAGGAAAATCTCTGGCTCTCACAGACCTGTAACGTCTTCTGTAAGAAGCTTTTCTGTCCCCCACTCGTTACCTGTATGAATGGCACCTGTTTGAACTCATCATCTGTATAAAAGACACCTGTCCACAGCCTCAAACAGTCAGACTCCAAACTCCGCCATGGCCAAGACCAAAGAGCTTTCGAAGGACACCAGGAAAAGTATTGTAGACCTGCACCAGACTGGGAAGAGTGAATCTACAATAGGCAAGCAGCTTGGTGTGAAAAAATCAACTGTGGGAGCAATCATCAGAAAATGGAAGACATACAAGACCACTGATAATCTCCCTCGATCTGGGGCTCCACGCAAGATCTCATCCCGTGGGGTCAAAATGATCATGAGAACGGTGAGCAAAGATCCCAGAACCACACGGGGGGACCTGGTGAATGACCTGCAGAGAGCTGGGACCAAAGTAACAAAGGTCACCATCAGTAACACACTACAACGGCAGGGAATCAAATCCCGCAGTGCCAGACGTGTTCCGCTGCTGAAGCCAGTGCATGTCCAGGCCCGTCTGAAGTTTGCCAGAGAGCACATGGATGATACAGCAGAGGATTGGGAGAATGTCATGTGGTCAGATGAAACCAAAGTAGAACTTTTTGGTATAAACTCAACTCGTCGTGTTTGGAGGAAGAAGAATACTGAGTTGCATCCCAAGAACACCATACCTACTGTGAAGCATGGGGGTGGAAACATCATGCTATGGGGCTGTTTTTCTGCCAAGGGGACAGGACGACTGATCCGTGTTAAGGACAGAATGAATGGGGCCATGTATCGTGAGATTTTGAGCCAAAACCTCCTTCCATCAGTGAGAACTTTGAAGATGAAACGAGGCTGGGTCTTCCAACATGACAATGATCCAAAACACACCGCCCGGGCAACAAAGGAGTGGCTCCGTAAGAAGCATTTGAAAGTCCTGGAGTGGCCTAGCCAGTCTCCAGACCTCAACCCCATAGAAAATCTGTGGCGGGAGTTGAAAGTCCGTGTTGCTCGGCGACAGCCCCAAAACATCACTGCTCTCGAGAAGATCTGCATGGAGGAATGGGCCAAAATACCAGCTACTGTGTGTGCAAACCTGGTAAAGACCTATAGTAAACGTTTGACCTCTGTTATTGCCAACAAAGGTTATGTTACAAAGTATTGAGTTGTATTTTTGTTATTGACCAAATACTTATTTTCCACCCTGATTTACGAATAAATTCTTTACAAATCCTACCATGTGGATTCATGGATTTTTTTTTCACATTCTGTCTCTCACAGTTGAAGTGTACCTCTGGTGCAAATTACTGACCTCTGTCATCATTTTAGGTGGGGGAACTTGCACAATCGGTGGCTGATTAAATACTTTTTTGCCCCACTGTACCAAGACATTTTTTGACAATTTCATTTTCCTGATTGTGGGAACAGTTTGGGGAACGGCTCCTTCCGGTTCCAACATCACACCTGTGTACAAAGCAAGGTCTTTAAAAACTTGACTGAGGTCAAAACTGCGAGAACTATGCAATGAATTAGAGTAGAGCCAGGCCTACTTGTCCAGTTTCTCACCTCACAAATTTGCTTCTGCAAGAATGGTCAGAAATTCCCACAAACACACTCCTAAACATTGTGGAAAGCCTTCCTAGAAGAGTTAAAGCTGTTTTAGTTGCAAATTCAGTGTCAACTGAAAAATCAGGATATGCACAAAAAACCCAAATAAGAGCAGTAAAGACACAACACAGAATTTTGGCTGTCAAAGAATCTAAATTGATCTTTTATGCAAATTCAGCAACAATCTATGCATTTTGTGTTTTTTAGTATAATAAATGTCATGTCAAGAAGAATGTTTTCACAGCTTTGTGGAAAACTAAGTACATTCTTATTGCTTAAGAGGTTAAATAGCATCTAGGTACAAATGCATTTGATTAACTGATCTTTAGCAAGTGTGAGCATATCTACAAAAGCAGATATTTGAGCAGTTTGCAGATCTGGAGGTTTCAGTTGTTTATTAACACAATGCCACAATCTTCCCAGGAGTGGACGCCAGTGCAATTACAAAAAGACTAAACTATGGCTTGTTTGGAATGCTTAGCAAGAGAAATGACATAGCAGCACAGCATAGGTTTGAAAGTTGAACAAACCACTAGATTTCTGAAGCAATGTCCTTTGAGGGGACAAGACCAAAATCAAGATGATTAGCCACAGTGCATACCCCCACATCTGAAGAAAACCAAACAGTGCATATCAAAATAAAACACCTCATACCAACTGTCAAGCATGATGGTGGAGGGGCAAAGAGTTGGGCTTGTTTTGCAACCACACGATATGTGCAACTTGCAGTCATTGAGTTGACCGTGAACTCCTAATGTGAGTCTAATGTGAGGTCATCTGTTCAACAGCTAAAGCCCAAATTAGGTCATGTAACAGGACGATGATGTCAAGGTTATGGTACTTCTGCATCTAGCTGGCCCTACAGAATAGGAGCAAGCATAAAAGGAGTAACGTGGAAGGTAATTTCAAATGCAATTTTTTAAAAACTCAACAAATATCAGCAAACACACAAACTGTTTGTGTGCAGTTTGTTGCACACTGTGTCTGCACAGGTCAGCTGATCATGACCTGTACATTAAGAAAATCTTCTAGGACCCTCAATAAAAATCATTGTGAGATGTGACTCTTTTCTCCACGCTGTAAGCGACTTTAGGGTTTCCCTAACTATTGAATCCCACTTTAACCCCTGACTGTACCCAGTTCTTGGTTTAGGTTTAGAGCCAAATGACTCTCTACAGTGTATCCACAGAAAATAGAGCTCCTTTTAAAAATTCTTCTTTTTCTCTGCTCAAGTTCTTATTAAGTGATTCAAGCTGAGTACATGTATTAGACATAAAATGTAGACTAAAATAAAGTTTGTATTCCCATGTACTAATATAATTTTATTGTACTTCTACTTAATTACTGATGTGTACTTTTGCCAACTCTGCTGCTAAAGTTCTACAAGCATTTGAATTTTGGGGTGTACTTTGCTACTCACAGGATCGCATCCAAATTTGTAAGTAAAGTAAGTGACTGTGCCAGTGCTCATAAACTAACTGCTTGCTGCCTTAAACCTTCTCGTCCCCATTCCTTTTTATTTTATGTCTTTTATCCTGTTTTCCTTCTCTCACCCCTACCAGTCGCAGCAGATGGCCCCGCCCCTCCCTGAGCCTGGTTCTGCTGGAGGTTTCTTCCTGATAAAAGGGAGTTTTTCCTTCCCACTGTCGCCATAGTGCTTCCTCATAGGGGGTCATATGATTGTTGGTTATATTTCTCTGTATGTATTATTGTAGGGTCTACTTTACGAGGCTAATGTTGTTGTAATTTGGCGCTATATAAATAAAATTGAATTGAATTGTAAACATGGTCTAATATTCCTCTTGATGGGGTTTGTTGCACCTTCTTCCAACTATAGTTACTTTTTAAATCCAACTATAGACTGTATGAGCATAGCTCCTGGGTCTGACAAGTAAAGTTAACATGGAAGACCCTTAAACCTGCATTTTTCTAATGGTCACTGGCAGGGGATATCTGTACTCACAAAAGACTTCCTGTCATGCATCTGCAGGCAAAACAACCTCTTTAAACACTTCCTTGAGAGCTTTATTGATCCAGTTATTTATTCTGGATCATGCTGTTCAGGTTGGAAAAACTGGTCAGTCTCTCTTAGAAACGAGGATTATCCAGTGCAGTGATCCCCAAAATGTGGGTTGAAAGTATTACAGGTAGGCTGCAGTAATAACAGAAATTCAGATTGAAATTACTCACAAGTATGTACAGTTATGCATTTATTTATGCAACTGTTTATGTATGTAAGTGTCCCAGTGGCAGGTGGGCCACACATTGGCCTTCACACTTTGCATATGACTGGGTATCATTAGCAATTTATAGTCAACAGCTTGTGATATGTTTTTTTAATCAAAATGTTCGTGGAATCACTCTCTCACTCTGTTTTATGTTGATAAGAGTGAAGATTAAAGATTGGGTGGGCCACATGGGATTTCCTGGTTTTTAAATGGGCCAAAGCACTCTCAAGTCTGGGCATGGCTGATGTAGGATATGTTCATAAAAAAAGCGTAAGAAAACAGAAAATGTACATTATATGCTATTTAATAAAGGTTTTTGCAATTGACCCTCCCCACCCAACAAACCAGCTCGCACACCTCCAGTAGATCTCTATCTTTATTTGTGTATGTCTATACACATATAAAAAATAAGGACATATGTACAATGGTAATAAATATCAACATGTTTTTACAAATGAAATAAGTTACTTAACATACTTTAAAAACAAACATAATAAACCAATAACAGAAAAGCAAAAATGGGACAAACTAAACCTCGGGTGGTAACAGAATAATCCAAATGATAAAGCATGAAAACAGCAGAACTTAAAGCCTCGTGTGAGAGAAAATATTACAAGCAGACAAATGCACTGGAAGTGAAGAAATGTACATAAAATACACTACACATGCATTTTTTTCCAAGCCTGAGACCTGTTATCTTTTTAGTTTTTGCAACATGTTATATTAAATAAAATTCTAATTGTTAAAAAAAGGAGAAATATTAAGACATAACCAAGTACCAGTGTAAAGAGATAATGTGTTCTTAGCTTTTGGCTTTTGGGAATTTAATACTATAATGTTGACATATTGTTTTTAATCACAGATCTGCTCCTGATCCACCACTATTTATTTGGCTTTCAGGAGCTAAAAAATTAAATAATAGTTTTGGTACATCATTCAGTCTTTCATTAAGTTAGGAGATAAGAAATTCAGCAGATAAATGACTGACATGTAAACAGGAAGTTCATCAGTCTCAAGTCTTCTTTTTCATTTTGCTCCGGGGGAAATTTAGCTGTAGATAAAATATGAAAGGTCGCAGATATCAGCTCAATTCAGCAAACTGGACGGACTGCTGATACTTAAATATCAATCTGCAATTGAATTAAATCAATATTTCAACAAGAACAAAAGCAATTGCAGTCTACTTTGGCTTTTCCAAAAGGTGAAGAGGCTTAGAAAAGGTAAACATGTTGAAATGCAGCAATGAAATCCTGTACAACTCTTGAGCCATAAAACCAGAAATATTTTTTCTTTTCTTTTTTCAAAGAGAGCATTAGTGTTGCACAATATTAGTGTCTGTAAAAGTCCAAAAATGATCAAACAAAATGATGTACAAGGATGATCATATCAAAGATGTACAGTCCACTTGCAGAGAATCATGCAACACTAGGATGGAGTGCTGATGGTCGACTACCTCTTCAACCTTGGGATCATTTTAATATTCTACATCTCTCTCAAGGCTCTGTACACAGAGGGGCAAAAACACATTTTTTTGTCCGTCCCCTTCTTTCTTGCTGTGCTCCGCTGGTCCCGACAGACATGTCCCAAAAATAAAAGCCACCCCCTGATGGACAGAGCACAAAGGGAGGACAAAAACATGTAGAGTGAGTAACAGCAAACAGCTAAAAAAGTTATGCACAATATGACTTTGCCACGATCTGATCTATTGTTGGCTATGCTTCAAAGTTTGCTTGGAAGTGGAACAGAAAGTATGTCAGAATATTTTTTTTGGACATCATTACATCAGCGTGGAACACATCTTATTTTGGGCAACGCGATCTTTTGGAAAATTCAATAATATGATAATATGAGCTTTGGCTTCATGCTAAAACTTATGGGATATGAAAACTTCCAACGATTAATGATATGTAGTTATGTAGTTAGTTGTCTATTCTGAGCAGGAGGCTGAAATGAAAAGACCCTCAAACTTGCAAGTACAGCAGAGGTTTTGAAACAGAGATTTTAGGCAGGAAGACCTTCCTTGGGTCAGCTTATTTTGATGGCTGTCACACTGGAGGATTTTCTCTTTAATAAAATGCTCTTGCCACAAGCTTCAGGCTGTGTGTGGCCCCCTTTCTTATCTTTTGCCAGGGAGAAAGCTTTTCAGGTGCACCTGCACTTCAAGACTTGCATAAAAGAGCACACAAGGACAGCTTTGATGGGAAAAAAACACACAAGCTGGTAAAATGGGATGGACAGACCTTTTTGACATTGGACATATTCAAATTTTTACATGATGATGGCGCTAGTGGCGTCCAGTAAAGTTAAACAAAAGTCACTACATGAGAACCAAATCTCATGATAAATGATAAATAGCTCAGGTCGGTAACTATTCTTATACTGTAGTCATACTATGACATTGGTCTTGAAATATTTGGCATGAAATAGAAACTAAGTACAGTTGTTACTAATTAAACTAATTAAAGGATCTGTTCTATTCGGGTACGGGTTGTTAATTAATGTGGCCAGTAACACCTGTGACGTCTGTTAAAATGGTCTTTGCTAATGGACTATTACTGTTTACAACTTTAGCAGTGGAAGTTCAGTTGTTTGCTTTGAAGCAAATATGAAACCCATAAGAGAAGTTGTGCTTTATTTATCACAAAGCGGACTGACTGCGCTCATGGTTACAAGAATTTCCCAACTTTTTGGTCAGTTTTGTTTATCTCAAAGGCTAAGTGGCAAACTTTGCACTGGAAAAACAAAGCCAGTGCTAAAGTGCATTTCCTCTAAGGATATAAAAAAAGTTTTTGACCTCTGAGTATAGACTCTCCCATGACAACAACTGTAGAGGGTCTAAAGCTATTCATAACTCATCTATTGGGATTTTGTTAAGGCCTGTAGCTAGCTGCTGTTTTCTAGGCCTCACTTCTGCTAATTCGAGTCACCAAACCTCTTAAATGAGTTTGTGGTGTTGATGCCACGTATTGGTCTACTGTGTGGTACAGGAGTCTGTGTGCCTGTGCTTGGATATAAAATCTACAAATGTAGCTTGATTAGCATTAGTCAGCATTAGCATTGTTAGCACTTTCCAAAAATTTAACAGCTAATCACATTTCTTAAAAAAGTTAGCAAAATGTGTTTGCAAACTGGTGAGAACCATCATGGTAGCTAGATCCATCAGTTCAGTAAAGAAATAACTAGTTTGGCCTTTAATGCATTATTAACTTTCTGTCAAAGAAAGTGTAAAACAGATTCAAGCTCAAGATGTTCCAGTTTCATATTTTTGGGCTGCACTTGGCATTTGTGTATTTACAGTTGGCCTGCTTTCAGCATCATAATTAACAGACAGATGTGAAAGCGGTATCTCAGTTATTTAATAAAACCCTTTTCAGACAGTGACCATATTGGGTTCATCAATCTCTTAGATTGGTACACGGTTGTGAGGTGATCTTGTGTGTTTAGACTTTCACCATAAGTAAACAGTGAAGATTACTGTACTTTTCAGTGTTTTTGGTCACAGGAATACTGTTACTATGGTGGGTGCTCATGTTAAACACGTCCACACTTGGTCAGTGTATATAAAAGACACGGGTGTCAAACGTAAAGCCCGGGGGCCAGAACTGGCCCATCTCCAAACCAGCCTACATGACTGTTTGGGAAAATGTGAAGGAGTATAAAGCAGTTTGAGATAAATAAGGACTTTGAACTGTGAATCATCCAAAGCTACTTCAGTAGAATTCATGAATATAAGCACTGCTTTGGGAAAACAGTATAACAGGGCTTCTTTAATAGTAAGGAGAGCATGTTTGAAAGCACCTTAAGTGAATTTCCCAAAATGTTGAATTACTCCTTTAAGAGACACTCTGGGCAACCGAAGTGTCAGAGAAGCCAAATAAATAAACTAAATAATTTGCAACACTACACTGAGCAGCAGCAAGAGCTAAAACTCTGAACTGGAAATCGTTTATGGCTATGACATTTCTTAAATCTGCTTTCATGGATTTAATTAAGTGCAACAATACCTTTCACTGGTTTCTGGCCACTTTCTGTCTGGAGCCACGTGTTTGTCGGTACAGGTTCATTCAGTCTGTCTGTCCATCAACACTGTATGTATGAGTGTGTGTATGTTCTCTTCATGTCGTCATGTTTTACATTATTCTCCGTCTGTATAAGTCCACAGTAGCTCCGGGTCCGTCTCTGGGCGTCGGTAACAGGGAGGGGGGTTTCAAGGGGGTTTAAGGATCCATCACAAACACACTGTAGTCCAGGATGGTTGGGATTCAGAGGACTGTGAGTGTGTCTGTGTGTGTGTGTAAAAGGGTGTGTGGGAGGGGTAGTTTCTTTCTTGGCAGTGCAAGTTACCACCCTCACCAAATACATCGAATATAAAGCACTTATTGAGACATCCACAGCGGTCGCAACAGCGAGGGCTCAGCTACATTCTCCGTGCCAAATGTCTTCACGTCAACTTCGATTTGAAATCAAGTGTGCAATTACTGCTCAGCTGCTATGAGCTGAATGCAAATAGCCTTTGCACAAGCTTCCACAGAAAAAAAAAGTGCAACCAAAACACCTATCTGTCACACTCTGTGACTCTTAATAACTGTCATATGGAGTGCACTTGAAGTATAGTGGACTTGAAGGTGTGTTTGAAGGTCGCCATGCAGGGCCGTGCGAGGAGTAATGTAACGCCAGGAGCTTTTCCTCGCATTGTCATTCAAAAGTGGGGAGCCGTTAGTCGCCGATGACTATTTGAACACTGCCGTATTTCCAGAGCAAACGAATAACGAGAAATGTCTTAATTCAAAGCAACGGTCATCACATCAAATCAAAAAGGAAGAGATCGAAGTCTTTCTCGGGTGGTAAATACAAGGTGTGGAAGGGGCGAAAATACAAACTGTCTCGAGAGACTGTCCTTCATTCAACAAAAAATATTTAAAAAACGTCTTTTTCCATTGAATTTCTTCTCTTTGTCTTTCTCTCTCTCTCCTCTCTCCTTTCCATCCCGTACAAAGCTCGGGGACATGATTGTCGTCTTGCTTAGAGATTAGGCTTTTTTTCAACTGCTCTCACACTCTCGGCTCACGAATACAAAAAAAGGGAAGACACGCTTCCAGTTTTTAAGTGCAGTAAGCTGTAAAAGTCTCAAAGGAGCAGAAAGACAGAGAATCAGTTCAATATTTCCAGTTAGTTGTCCTTGTCGTTTGTCAAGTGGTTTGAGAACTGGGGCAAAACGCTTCGCTTGGTCCGCTCTTTGTAGAAGAAATGTGCCCTTCTGAGAACAGGTAACGCCATTTGTTTGATTTCCGTGCTCGAGGTGTTCTCCCCTGCGTTCGTCCTTTTTTTTTCTTCTTAAATACACAATGTACACAAGTGGCGGTTTCACAGTGGAAGCAGAAAAAGCCACAACCATGACTGCATGTTGTCCAAAACACAATAATTAGAAGAGTTCATGTCGCTCGAACACAGTGTATGAGTGTGTATATTTAACATGCTGTGTGCTATAAATGTCTACAGTGAGCCAAACAGCCATTGGTGGAGCGAGAAAGAGGGAGTGAGAGAGAGAGAGCGCGGGGGAATTGACAGCATGTTGTTGCAAGAGAGAGAGAGCAGGCATCCTCGAAAGGACAGAGGTAGGTTGGTTGTTTTTTTTTTTTTCAAACTCGGGGAACGGAGACGGAGGAGGACGGGCCTACACCGACGACTCCTCCGGGTTGGCGTCGGGTAGCACGCTTCTCTGCTGCAGGGTGCGTCTCAGCTCTTCCTTGAAGGGGCTGGAGTAGTCGTTCCCACCCATGCCGAGGCCTCCCAGCCCACCTCCCCCAGCACCAGTCCCGCTAGCCCTTTCCTCCCCTGCTGTGCTCAGGTTGAGGCGGATGTAGCCGTTGCTACCAGAGCCTCTGATGTTTGTGAGGCTGAGACGGCTGGGGGAGTGGATGGGCTGGCCGGGTATGGCGCTGGGCGACGCCGTGCTGCTGACACTGTTGGGCCCCAGGGCATGACCGGGAACGATCTTCAGGGAGCCGTCTGAATAATAGTAGTTGGCACCTGTCTCCCAGAAGCGGTCTTCATCCGTGGGCATCTTGCTAGGCACAAAGGTGGGCGGCTCCTTAGGCAGGGTGATGGGGTATACGAGGGTGCTCTCGAGAGGCTTCATGTCTACTCCCTTTCCCAGGGCCAGCTTCAGCCTCCTGCGCAGGTACAGAGCTACGACGAGAAGCAGCAGGCACGCTGCTCCGAGGGTGATGACCAGCACCCAGAAGAGGCCCATGCTGCTGTCCGGAGCCCGTGCTTCCATGAAGACTGGAGCGCTGGCTACCACTGCCACCTGGTAGCGTTCTGTCTGAAACTTGACTCCCTGCTCCTCAGAGTAGCAGATGTAGCGGCCCGCTTGCAACTGGCCCGCTTCAGGGATGATGAGAGCTTTGAGGGTCCGGTCGAAGCGCGGCCCTCCTGCCTCCGGATCACCCAGCTGAAGCTCACGGTCATTGAGAACCCAACAAGGCTGAGCCAAGTTGGAGACCAGCTGGCAGGGCAGCACCATGTCAGACCCCACCACAACGGTGACGTTCCTGAGACGGGAGTGCTCTGTGCAGGAGAGGTGGAGGAGGGGCAGAGGGTGCAGGGAAGAGAAGACAAGAGTGGGGGTTAAGTGTCATCCATAATAAATCCATTTCATATTCTGCACTAGCCAGCTCTCCTGTGCTTAATTCAATTTATTCAGCTCAGTTCAAATGTACTCGCTGAGTCCATTCCCTTTACTTGCTGCTGATTTGCTCCTGCACTGACAATCAATTCCCACAAGGGGCCACTAGAGAGGTGTCAGCGCCACACTCACCAGGGCTGGGGATGGAAACCGGCTTATCAAACTTGGCTTTTCCCCGGTTGAACCTCTCCAGCATGAGGTCCTGTGAGAGGGAGGAGGTGGACCTGGAGAGAAGAGGGCAGAAAGCAGAGAGGAAGATTAATAATGTTACAATAAGGAACCGAGAACATTTTAGTAGCGGAAGAAACATGCACAGAATAAGGGGAATCAATAAAAAATGCACAGAAAAATAGTTTTTCCAACACTTTAACAACAAAATGTATTTAATCAGACAGATATTTCAGTAGAAATAAAATAAAAACTGTAACAGTACAGAAAGCCAAGGTTACCTCACAGCTTCAGGCTGAAAGCCTAAAAATTTTATTTTATAGGATTTATGCATTTCACTGGCAAATGAAGGAATCTCTGTAGTAATAGGATTCGTAATAGTTTTATACTTTTATTTTTTTATTTCTAGATTGATCAGTGTCAAAAACACTAAAGGATGTAAAAAGGCAGCAGTCATTAGAGCCCTGTATCGTTATTTCCAAGTTTCTTTAACTAAAGACGTGAAGATTAAATAAAAGAAATCAGTGCAAGCAAACTCAACCACATCAAAAAAACAAAGTTCTTTATAGTTCTGTTGAGTTCATATACACTGATTTCTTTTGCCGACTCACAGTTACTGTGATGTATGATTACTAAGCAGTTTTTGAGTCTCTGGAGACTTTTTAGCTGCCGGTTCCTTGACAGATTCCTGATGAGAGGAGATGATTTGCAAGGTGCGCAGAGACACACTTGAAAATCTGGGACAAACACAGACTTAACACGACACGAGTACCCGAGGCGAGCTGAGATGAGAGGAAGAAGTGTAACTGGCTGGTGTCAGATGCCGTACCGACTCGTCACAAAAGGATTTAACCAGCTTGAACTTTTCTTAAGAGCGTAAATTAGAGCCATGTCACTAGTTGACCGGACTGGCGGTGCTGTTGAGATGAATCAGTGGAAAAAAGATATGATAGTTTTCCTTATTAATTATAATTTAGAGCAGTGAAGTGGAAGATAGATCCAATCATCATTAGATAATGATGATTGGATAAATGAAATCAGGCACTGGAATATTCCAATTAGTGAAACAGTTAAAGGGGTACATTTTGTTTCAGGGGTGATTCAGATGCTTGTCTAACATTTGTACATCAGCAGATTCCTTTAAAGCAAATTATTTTTTCAGTATAGTGTGGATGGATGGGTGTACATAGCTACTAGTCTCACCCTCGGTGGAGGTCGATGCGGACGCAGGCCCTACCCTCGCTGTCCCAGGCGCAGTAGGGATCCCGGGCGAGCAGACAGTCTGGCTGAGACTGATAGCGGCTGCAGTTGGCCAAGGGCAGCTGGAGAACCTCAGAACGAGATCCGATGTACAAGTACTTCTACAGAGAGGCAGAAAGAGAAGAAGAAGAAGACAAAGTCCAGATCCAGAAGAAAGATAAACAGAGAGAGAGGGAGAGAGTGACTCAGTTAGGGGTTAGAGGAGATAATGGGATAATCACTCTCAATTACAATAACATTGACCCCCCCCCCTCCAAATCCAATCTGGTTTGCACTCTTTTCGCAAAATGCTGTTATAAAATGTCTGATCGCAGCTAAGCCAGCATTAATGAGATAAGCACGAAGCTTTAGGGAACGCCCTGTCGGAAGGCCATCGATCGACGGACGCGCTGCTGTAGAGCTGCGGGGACACAGCAGCCGTCAGCACACAGGCTCCGATGACAGCTCAGAGAAGCCGAGAAAACAGAAGGGCCAAGGGTTCAATTCCCCGCTGTGGTGAAGGATTGTAATGACTGTTATTTGGGAAGAGACTTTCAGATTCATCAGGCAACAAATCATCACAAGACAAAGCAGCACTGCCTCCACTGGATACCAATGAGCAAATGATGAGACAACAAAGAGGGAAAGCAGATTCAAAAAGCACGCTGAAGGAATGTGATCACACGAAGAGAGAGCAACCAGACAGGAGATTCCCAAAACAAAAAGGAACTTTGTAGCCCCCATCCCCAAGAGACCATTAAGATTTCTCATCTCTCGCAAAGACAGAAAACAATACACCTAGGAGTGTGTGGTGCCATGGAAACAGATGAAAGTTCAAATTCAAATAGTAGAGTAAAAGATGAGGTGAATTAAATGTGGTCTGTTCTGACTTTCTTTATTTATCGAGACACCTGCTTTCCAAGTGTGCAACAGAACCAAATGTAGACGTCACTTCGCTAAAGGCGCTGCTAGAGTCTTTCTGCTTGGTCCATTCTGGGATACTGTGAAGACATGGCAGCCTGCTCTGAAGCAGAGGACACACTCCCTGGTTGTGGTGAAACACAGAAGTATGTGCATGGTAGCCACAGTTAGAGCAGGTTGAAATCTATCAATGCTATGGAAAGATGCTTCTGTGCATCCTTTTTTTCCCCTCCTTTGGGAACGCTGTCCCACAAATCAAAGTGACAACATATATTGTGTAAATTGCTGGAGTGTTTTCTACTTTATACAACAGCTTACCAATAAGCTATTTAAAAAATAGGGCCATTATACGACTTTATTCAAATGCTTGTTATGAAGTTGTTGCCTTGTTGAAGGACATCATAAGGCAGGCTTAGAGAACAACTCCATAAACAAGGATAATGATCAAAGAGTAGTTTGCATAGGTCGTGTCCTCATTTTGGTTGCTGCTGTATCGGCAAAATTTAGAATTTATTTTTTTGCTTTTTCCATTTTAATTCAGAAATGCTAATTGATACGATATGAAGATATTCTAAAGAGACAGAAAAGGAAGCTACAGGTGGACTGAAAACTAACTGTGAATATTGTCTTTCATTTGTACTACTGCATCCAACACGCTGGTCCTTGAAGGCATGTTTTTAATCTAAATCTGAGTCTGAACTAAATGAAAGCCGAGTGTTTTAAAGGGGCACCGGAGCGATTCGAGGTGTCAGCGTGTTCCAGCGAGCGCTCGGCATGTGGCAACACCTAAAAACACTTTTCCTCCACACCTTTCCAATTAAGGGGCTGTATCCTACATTAATATTAACGCCCACTTCACATACCGATGAGTTAACGGCTTGGGGCTGAGGAAGGTGTCAGATGCTTCGAGCAACACTCAAACTACCAGCATGTTTCATGCGTGCAACACGAGTGTAGTACTGTGAATGCCTTGCAGGAAACACAGTTTCACAGTGTGAGCGGCTATCGCTAACATAAATATGACTGCACAGCATTTAGTAACTCTTTTATTTTTAAGGGTTTAAGTAGGACTGGACACAGCTAAGCCAGAGATGGTCAAGATGTGCTGTTTTATTCCTAGTTTGGGTTTCATGGGCACCGTGACTGCTCTTTGGCCATGCAGCCCCATACACAACAAAGTGTGGTGCATTGTGCATACTGATGTCTTTCCATCAGTTTTCTGCAACTTGAGTTGCAGTATCTCGTCTGTTGGATTGGACCACAGGCGCCGGCCTTTGCTCCCCGTGTCTATCAGTGAGCCATTTGGATAGATACCTCACAAAAGCTGCAGTTCTGGAGATGTTTCATCCCAGTCGGGCAGCCATCACAGTCTGACCCTTGTCAAACTCAAATCTTTAAACTTGCACCTTTTTTCCTGCTTCTAACATGTTAACTTAGAAGACAAAGTGTTCCCTCGTTAATATATCTCACCCACAAACAGTTGCCATGGTTGTTGGGATTTTCCCTGTTTTCTCTGTGTGATTGTAGGGTCTTTATCTTACAATATAAAGCACATTGAGGAAACTGTTGTTGTGATTTGGCGTGAGTTCATCCCTTTTCTTCACTTCACATGTCAGCGGTCTCTCTGGGCTGTGTGAATGGACGTTCACGTGTAAAAACAGCAACAACTGAAACACATCCTGTTGTTGTTTTCTTACCTTGGCGTGGGAGATGGTCAGGCTGTCGACTGGCTGGGCCGTTTCAAACAGCTGGATCTCCTCTATCACGTGGGCCTCTGAACCCAGGATCACCACCCTCTGCAGCCAGCCCTCCGCTGCAGCACAGAGAGGAAGAAGATGAAGAAGATTTGAGCTCACTTTACTTCTGTCCTATTCACATGGAAGTTTTCAATCGAGTTTACTTTGGTGCACTTTTGGTGCAACACAGAACACCCAGCACACCTTTGACAGCAAAGCAGGGAATTTAAATATAAATCATACAATTTTGGCAAATATTTATAAAAAAAAAACCTGCGCCAGCGCTCCAGTTCATTTGTACCATAGCGATATGTTACAGTAAATTACCCCATGCACCTGTCACTGCATAGCCATCAGTTTAAATATTAATGATCAGCACACAATCACCTGTGACTGCACAACATTTGACATCCTAATATATTCACACACACACACATACACACAGGAGCTCATTTAAATATTAATGATGAAATATGTTAATGTACAGGCACTCCTTTGGTGCCAACAATTTAAATATTAAAGCACAAGCTGCAAAATTATAACCTATGCAGCAAACACTTTTTTCATGAACTATTGATTGAGTGTGTTGCTCAACTGTTCCTGGTTCATGCTGAGTGTCTGAAAAGCTAGCAAGGCAACAGTTAAGGTTTTATGGCATTTTTTTTCTTGCTGTGGCAAGAAACCCCCCCCCACCCCCAAAACAGGTAAAACTAAACTAACACCACTGATCATATGTCCTTGCCCCTCTGATGTGCTGAAGAGCCGGTATACAAATAGAGAGAGGCCGTAAATGGAGCAGCTGACCTCAGTGCAGCTCTAAGTGGTGTTATTAATTACACCTGGGCTTTTCCTGGTGTGACTCAAAACAAGGCCAGCTTCGCTACGGGCCACACATCAGCATCACGCCAAGGGTCAGACATGTATACAATACCGACATGCTTTAACTGAATACAAAATGCAAGGCCTGCATTATCTTCAAGTGTAACTTTGCGCATGTGAATGTTTTGTTGACCAGTCAACAAAATTGTGCACTTTAACTACAGTTTTAACTACAAAGGCTGTTATATTGCAACATCACCTTTTTATTTTTTTCCCTGCAAAGGTTTTTCAAAGTTTCATGTAATGCATGGAGATGTTGGAAGTATCATAATTGTTTCGGCTGCTTTTACAGCCTCCTGTAGTTCTGGTTTAAACACTTCGATTCTGAGGTACGCTTCTTTCCAGTTGAGTAACTTTCTGCCTGTTTCCTGTCTGCTATCGTGTAGACTGTGTAAGAAAAAACCTGACACAAATATATTCTTTGAGAACTGATACTGTCTCGCAGCAAATGGATACACGGGCCTCTCTTTTCACTCAGTAATGAAGTTCTCAGTCCCACACCTCTCCCTCACGAGATTGCCTGCCTTCAGCATCAGCTTTCAGTTTGGTCCAATTTGGTGTTAGGTAGCATGTGAACCTGCAGGCGCAAAGCTGTCGTGCAAATCTGTTTGGTTTGGTGTTTGGTGCAAAGGCTGTGCAGAACATTTTTTTTGAAAACCTTAAGATATATGCAGGCTTTAAATTTTAAATTTAAAAATATTGGCTGGAAAAAAAAGCAACAGAAGACGAGTAGAAAGTTCCCTCCAACAGAAAAACGTGCATCACTAATGCGCAAAGCCAGAGTGTCATCAATCGTTTTCATCGACATCAATTTGTGATTGAAAAGGTCACGAAAAGGAAATCTTCTTGCTGGAACATCCATCTGCCGTACTGAGCTCCAGCTCAGCAACAAACTACAGATGAATTTAAAAGACTGGAGGTGCTCCTGGCCCTTCAACACCTCGGGTAACAGCATTTGAAGAGTTTTTTTTTTTTTTAAGTGGTGTGTGGGGAGCTGATGCTGGAGGAAGAGGAAGAGGAGATCCTGTGCTCCTTTCATGTAGGGCATTGTGAACAAGTTTAGATCCCTGGTGATGAAAGGTATTTCAGGCACAGCTGGTGGGGTGACCTTGATGTGTGTGTGTGTGTGTGTGCGTGCGTGTGTGTGTTACGTGCTGACATGCGCTTTCTTCTGTGGTCCTCTTGATTACGAGACTGTCACAGATAATGCAAAAAGCTAACCCAGCAGCCAGAGGGAGGCTTGAGAGATGGAAATACACATACAGGCATAGCAAGCAGAAGGCATATCACCGCACTCGCCTCTCACGCCGTCACAGACCAGTGTCGGCTAATCCCTCAATCCCACAGCCTGTTTTTCCCCCCCGTTTAAAAACAGTGTTGTCAAGCACTTCTCCTCCTCTCTCTCTCTCTGTCTCTTTTTTTTCACATCAGCTGTCGCTATGCCGTCGCTAATAGCTAATCAAGCCCGCAGCCCAATTGGCACTGCGAGCGCACGTCTGCCAAGGGCCCCGTTGAGTTTGTGCCGTGAAGCACGACAAGCGGGGATGACTGCACTTGGCTCAGAGAGTGTGAGTGTGCATATCTGTGTGTGTCCATTAGTAAGGTGCTAGCGCCCGCGCGTGTGTGTGTTTGTGTCGCAGCAGCAGCGGCCATGTGTGTGTCCGGGCTGGCCTCACCGCCTGCCAGCAGAGAAGCCCCGAGTCCGCTGTTGTCACACTGTCAGTGTTGTCCCAGTCACTCTGTCTCTGCAGTGATCTGAATGATAAGTAGGTGAGTCTTTCCATTCATGAGATGGGCTGCATTCAAATTCACATTCCCTGGAATCCGCTATTAGATGTGTATTATCCAGGATTAAGGCTCCGGGAGGGCGGGCTGATTTCTGATCCAAAACAGGACACCTGCGTATGGGCCCAATGGCTACTGACTGGAGATATTAATTAAGTCGCGGGTGTGTAGACGTTTCCTTTGATGCATGAAGACGGATCTCAGCATGCAAATCTAGCCCCTAATTGAAACTCAGCTAAAGTCTGGCCAGATGGCATGTTGTTTTCGTGCTACCGTACCTTATGCCAGTACCTGTTCCTCTGTGCTGCCACGGCCCGTAAGCTCTTATCTCTATGACAAACACTCTATGCATGTCATATATTTTCACCGGCACGCTGAGAACACCCCATCTCTACAGATGGGGGTCAAAAAAATAACAGAAACATCATAAATCATGAACACTGTGCAGTCTGCTTAAAGACGATGATTCAACTTTATCGCCTTTTTTCTTTTTGAAGCTCCAGAGCAAGATGCTCTCTTGGCCTCTAGCGCCGCAGTGAGCGGAGACGGGCGGCGAGCTGTGAATAGTCGTGTCAGTGGGAATGGAAGCAGCGACTGCAGTTGAAATGTCACAGCATTCGGGCCGTTAGTTAAAGAGCAAAAATTAGCTGAAGTGACAGTTGAAGTGGAAGCGCTGAAAGCAGCCGAGAAGTCGCTGGAGGGGTAGGGGGCATTAAAAGACTTGAATTATTGCTTCAGTTTAAGTGTAGCAATGGAAGCAATCAGAGTTTTCTTGTTGAAGTGCCAGGGATGGGAGAAGTGTGTGCAGTGTAAACAGCTGAGCAGTGGGAATAGGCTCTGAGGAGGGAGTGTACACGATTGGTGATGCGTTTTCCCCCCAATAAAAACATCAGTGTTTTAGCCAAACACCCATGCCAGCATCACGATTCATTACCTGTGCCGATGAAGAGCATGTTGTACGGCCTCTGGTCCAGGGCGCTGACACGATCCACCGCCAGCCTCGTGAAGTTGACGCCCTTGGTGAGCAGCAGGAGGCGGCCCAGAGCTTTGTCCTCCATCAGAGGGTGCTTCTTGGCAAAGTTGAGCGTGGCGTCAGGCAGCTGCAGGGAGCTGTTGTAGCCGTTCTCCCTGTCTGAGTTGGTTATACACTGCAGTAAAGAGAGAAAAGAAGGAGGGACAGGGGAGGGAAATGAAGCGGGGAAAGGAAGGGAGAAGGATATGAGGAGAAAGTAAGAGGGCCAGGAAGGAGAAAGAGGAAGAGGAGGAAACTTCTTAGCTGCAGCTGATACAGGTTGGCACGGTTAGCTGGCTTGCAAACCAGTGCCCTCCCTCCACCCCTTCCACTTCTTCAGTTTTGCTTCGCACTGGCTCTCACCTCCGCCTGCTAACACCCCTTCCTCTCCTTCCTTTCCTGTGGCGCTGGATCATTATGTCCTTGGCCTCCAAGCTACGCCACATCACCCATTTTCCCTCCCTCCTTAACTATCCCATAGGGACTATTTTCCTGCTCTGTGAAGCTGTCTACAACTTGATCAAAAATTTAAACATTGACATGGGCAGTTTCTTACCGATCCTGGTCGCGGTGTGGGGACAGAACCCGTGTAACGTCCCCACCTCTGGGACGCCTCTCTGTACTCCTTGTAGGACCCTTTGAACACCTCCTTCACGTTACTTATCTGGTACTGACACACAGCTGACACGTCCACGTCACCCCTGGAACATGGCAGCAACATGGGGGAAATCGGTGATGTGTGGCAGTAATAATCGAGACAAATTACCTGTCGTACAAGTCAGCGAGACACACTCAACAGGATGTGAACATGTACGTTTAAAAATAGCAGAATCCAAAAATACCAGGCAGTGAAGCGTGCTGCTTTTAAACGACCCTCCCGGTAATCACAATGTAGTAAATAGATATTAAATGTATGGTCTAAAACTGATTTGTTGACACATCTCCACTGTTTCCATGGTGAGGCACAAATTGATGCACATGTACGAGGGTTCCTTCATACGCCAGTGAAATCCATCAATTAGTGCCGTGACTCAGGAAATGCATTTCATTTAATGGTGAGGTCGGGGATTCGGGAGCTCTTCAAAATTTTTTTTTTCCCCAACACATTTTCAGACATCCAAGTGGGACTCAAATTGGGTATTGACGTCTGACACAGACACATTAAATTATACTTTTACTTGATATCTCACGAATATCTTTAATTTCCATGCTCATTCACCGGAATGAAACTACCCCCTCCACTCGTTTTTTTAATTCCACTCTCAAACTGAGGCACTGACAGACAGGCATATAACTGTGAGCATTCTAAGGAGCTTGGAAAGAAAAGCGTCTGGACTTCTTTAAGTTTCCTTGAAGACGTTTCACCTCTCATCCGAGAAGCTTCTTCAGTTCTAAACAAATTTAAGCCCTGTGGGAGTGTCCCCAAAAGGGTCCTGCACCCCTATTGATCCTCTACCTAATCACATGATCCAAGGTGTGAAAACGGCTACACTAATCCGGATCAATTTGAAAACAGCGTATTCGTTTAAAAACGCTCCACACTATTGTTTTCAAGCGTTTCCGACCAGTTGTTCATCCACACTGAAACCATCGAAAACGCTACGTTCCTGTATTACGCATGAGTGAAATGTAAGACAATTCAACCTGTGTCATTTCTGTCTGCTGTTTATTTACTTTCCAGCTCTTTGGAAAATGACTGAGTTTTTTAATCGGCCAGACAATGAGGAGTTGTTGCTGCGAGTAACACAAAAGTACAAGGTTGCAAAAGTGCTATCTGGAGCATGTACAAACTGATATTAATCTTTAATAGGGCTGTCAAAATTGAGAGCAAACAAAACAACTGCTGTATAATGCCCTCCGCTGTCTTTGTTTAATTGGTCACATGACTGCATCATATGACTAGAATACGTCATCGTTTTCAAAAAGGCTCCGGGTGTCGCGGTCCACACTGCGACGCGAAAACGGCGTTTTCAAATGTATCCGCTGTGGCGAGGTTTTTCAAAACGCTGCGTTTTCTTTGACCAAAAACGCCGTCTCAGTGTGGACGGAAGGCAAAAACGGAGAGAAAAACATGCGTTTCCAAACGAAAACGTATTAGTGTGGACATGGCCACAATCAAAGGTTTTGGGTGAACCCGCTGTGAAACCTGGCCCCACCCTATGATGCGATTTACTGAGGTCAAATGACCCAGGGTGCGAATGGGCGTTAAGGCGCCAGAGAAGGGATCTCAAAACTGGATTATAGATGGCAGACAGTTGGTGTTGTAAGCCCCGCCCTCTGTTCAAAGATGGTCGTTCACAGTGGACATAGACGGCTTCTTTCACTCCTCTTTCAAACCATCTGTCGTCTCTGTCCAAAATGTGAACATCGGCATCCTCGAAAGAGTGACCTTTGACCTTTAGATGCAGAGCAAGTTTGAGCAAGTCAGAAAAGTAGCAAAGTCCGAATTTACAGCTATTGCTATTTAGCTTTAAACGCTCTCTCCATTTTTTCTTTGTAATGTGTGTTTTGTTTTCTGAAAGGCCGAGTTCATGAAGTCATATGATGCGATGTCCTCTTCCATTTCAGAACAGTGCTCCTCCTGTTAATGTGTGACAGAGCTGCGGGTTTATAAGGTCAACGTCACAACCAAAGGACAGCGCCGATGTCTTAGCGAGTTAAAACGCAGCCCTATTCAGTCACATTATGGCTTGAGCTCCCGAGTCATCATTTACATAATGTCCAATTATCTTAATGTTATCTCTATCAAAGCCAGGGGGCTTTAAGGAAACCCCAGCAAGTCACACACAGAAAGAACGAGGGGATTAGGCTCTTTTTTTCTTTTCAAGCAGCAGAAGGAACTCCGAGCAAGAAACAAAGCTGGAAGTTCAAAGCCGGTTCAGTTTGCGATATGATATCTTACTGAAGAGCACAAAAGACTCACATCAAAGGGCGCTGCCTGGAGACAGAGAACGTTTCCAACTTTCTGAGGACAACCTTCCGCCCTCGCTCCAGTTTCTTTGTTGATTAGTAGCTCATTAACGCGCTGCCGTGATGCCCAACAAACAGCCGTCTTTACTCCGCTAATAATGCTGGAGTAACTTCTCACAGCTGAATCATGACTGTCAACACCCTTTTAATTAACAGTTTGTAGTTTAATTATTGCGCTCAAAATGACTTAATTTTCATCCCACTGTGTTTGAAATGAACAGCAGCGAGCGGACAACAGCACGGTGTGTTCACGAGACATCTGATTTACTCAGGGTGGATTTCTGCTCCTATAAAATAAAGCAGTTGCTAAAACAAGATATATAAATACTTTGATTGGACCGATCACTTTGGAGTCATGCATGATTTTAAAGACCTTTGTCTTGCTGTGAAAATGAATGCTCGACAAGCTAATGTAATATGTTTGGAAAATGCACCCACCATCGTTCAAAGCTAAATTAAAACCACGAGACGTTTAATCTCTAATAAAAGCAGTAAAACATTTTCAGGGACACTCAACTTGTATTCTCTCAAAGTAACTCACATTAATGTCAGCTAAAGGCCTCATTACGCAGGAAATACCTAATCACGCAAAGTACATAATTAGAGCCATCCTCTCAGAGTGACCATTGGTTTGAGTAAGAGGCTGACAGGTTGGCAGATGACAGCTGATAGCATATGTGGCAATTAACTTACATCTATTTGGGTTTTAGTCTGAAACAAAGTGATGTCTGCTGTCTCTTTTGCACCGCTGTCGTTCCGACTTACCACTGAGCGTGGAAGATGCCGTAGAAGGTGGTCCCCCGCCAGTCCTGCCCCGGCAGGGTGAAGACGGCTCTCAGGTTGTTGAAATAGACGTGACGCTCTGGGAGGGAGCACTCCAGCCGGGCTTTCTGGAAGGTGGTCCACTTTTTCTGCAGGGTCCTGGTTCCACCCAGATCGCCCTGAGAGAGAGCACAAATCAAATCTTATTTATGACTAACGATTATTATTTTAGGATTTTTTTAATGCTTATTTTTTTAACCCACCGTTTGCATTCAGTAACACTTTAATATAAACATAAATACGACTTAATACGAATAACAGCAAGGTTTGGGACCAGTGGACGGATTTCATATTCGTTTTCTGAAGCAAGAAACATTTAATCTCGTTTTAAGAAGACTAAGCACTGCAGTCACTTTGTGACAGCATGCTTGCTTTGCCTAGTTCAGATCCAGCTGATGTGATGTGAAAACTTCAGTGCACGTACACCGACAATGGCATTTCTTTTCTTAATAGAAATTCAAAGATTCTCTGAAAATGATCAAATTAAAAGACTCGATCTGACCTGATCCGATGAAAGAGAGTACTTTATTTTTAATCATTTTAAAACATGTTCAGAGAGGATTTTTCAGTTTCCACTTGATATTTAATCAAGTAGCCGATTAAAACCAAAGAGTTGTTGTTTTTTTTTAACTGTTTGAAATAAAAAATATATATATTCTTGAATTTTAGTTTTAAATACTAAACTTTACTTCTTTACTTTAGTATAGCACTCCCTGTATGTACGCACGTTCTCTGATGGCTCCAGCAGCTTATCAAGAAACGACTCCTATTGATTGTTATTAAGCGATTGTACATGATAATTAATAACAAGTCTGCAGAAGCAGGATGCACTGTGGAAATACTGTGGGATGATTACTGTGTCTATTTAACGATCTTAACAGAGGATACCAACACAGCAGCCCTCTGCTTTCTTATCCGGGTAAAAGCCCCACAGTCACATGCTGAATGTAGAAGTATCGCCATGGTTACCAAATGGTGCCCACTGTTACACACACAACACTGAATACGTTTTAGTTCTTAGACACACCAAAACTCTACCGTGACAAAGTATTGTGTGGCTCGCTTTGAGCTGGCTGGCCTCTCTCTCTCCTTCCTGTTAGGCTGCCACGAATTCTGCATTTCATTGGCCTCGCCTTCACCCCACAAAAGCCAAATATCATCCGAGTAAATACACTGTAATTACTCTGAATATACATACGAAATTTTTTTCGCATCAGTTGGCTGACTGAGCTTCTGTCATGTTGAAAAAAGGATCTGAAAGAGCTTTTATAGCCTGAGATGTTCAGGTCTACCCGAGAAAATTGAAGATAAAGGCACTAACAATATTAACTTTTACAATAAAAATGGAATCTATATTGACAAGCGGTCTATTTCTGTATTGCTCTGTGGGCGCAAAAGAGACGCATTTGCCTCATTCCTCTCATTTTTATTGTCCTCAGTGATTGCAGATGTGAAAAAAAGAAAAAGGAAAACACAAAAATGCTAATTTTATAGCAATGAGACATAGATATTGTGCTCCTGCTGTAATAGGGGTATAAGCAGAATGTGCTGAATTATTCATTGCTGTAGTACACATCATGTAACAGCATCTGTTTCTAATTTCATTCAGAGAGCTTTATTGTTCATCCTCGCAGACATTAAAGGGCGCTTCCCATAAACCAGAGCATATATTCAACACTAAATTACATACATCTCCATCGACTATTAGCAATCTGTCTCCAGCTTTTATAGTTTGCCTGGTTTAAAAGATGCTAAGATTACATGGCAGCATAAGTAAGTGTAACGTGACACTCTACTTCTGTAACGGTAACTGAACGTCTCAACTCTCGCCGACTCGCCTCATAGCAGAAATCACCTCTGTCTGTGTCTGGCCATAATCACTGTGGTGTATCAAACCTAATCAGTTGTCCTAATGAGGCCATTCATTAAGCAAATTAATGCATTAATTACCAAATACATCTATGTCAGTGCAACTGTCTCCGTGTAGCACATTGTTAGTAAACTGGCAGTGAGCTGAAGTTCTGTTGCTCTTGTTACAAAAACACGCGACAGCTGGCTTTGTGCAGACGTTGTGGGTTTTTTCAGTATTTTTATAGCAGAACATGTTCATATGATCATGAAAACTTCAAATGCACATGAACAGAGCAATGCTGTTTAATTCAAACTTGTATGCCGGTTGCTTGGGAGGTTTGGCATTGACTAAATGTGCTCTTGATGCTTGAGCTGGAGGTTTTATGATTGCTACTGAGCTTTGAAGCCTCTAAAGAAAAAGTTCATTTAAGTAAACAGATGTGGTTCCCACGTTATCTCTCTACTCATTTGTGTGCGCTCAGTTTTGTGTTGTGAAAGCAGTTCTAGAAGATAAACAGATATGTGAACAAACTGCAAAATCTGGGCACTTGTGATCTTCATACAGCATCCACTCTGGTTTTAAGTCACTACAAAGGCAGTTCTGACTCACTTCTTCTTTTATAATGTTTAGGTCTTGTGATACAAACACAGCGCCATCGGGATGAAAGCATATAAAAAAAAAACCAGGCAGCCAAATACTTATTCTCCAGATACTCTATTAGTTATACCTTAGTAGTACTTGGTTGGAGCCCCTTCTGCACTCAGAACTGCCCTAACTCTTCAACGACAAGATACTGGAAACATTCTTTGTTGACACGACAGCATCACACAGTTGCTGCAAAGTTTTCGGCTGCACATCCATGATGAGAATCTCCACCACATCCCAAAGGTGGCCATTTGGATTTTGAGACACTGTGGTCGTAAAGGGATGGACATGCTCAGAGCACCCGGTCTCGCTGCAGCAACCACGCCATGCTTAGAGTTACCTAAATCATCCTTCTTCTCCATTCTGATGCTCAAATTGAACTTCAGCAGGTCGTCTCGGCCATGCCAACATGCCTGAATGCGCTGAATTGCTCCAATGTGACTAGCTGACTAGATAATTGTCATTAATGAGCAGTTGGACATATATACCCGAGAAAGTGGTCTATCTGAGTCACTAATTCTGTGACACTGTGACAAGAAATTCTTCATTATCAAAGCAAAGACAAGCGCTAATTAGCTAATGTTAGCAATATATCTAACACTGATCCATGCGCTGTTACCTTCAGGCTCATTGTAGTTTGTGAGTATAGTCCTTGGTAAAGGGAACTAATGACAAAATCAATGTGAACAGGTTTTATTACATAAATTGAATCATAATTAATTATCAGTTTAAATGCTGCACCAATGACAACATGAGCTGCTGTGGAGTCATTGATGAGATTTGACCACTACTCTTTATTTGACAAGGTTGGGTTAAGGGTATTGTGGAGGTATAAATCATTCATCACTGCTTTGCTAGGACGAGTGGCGAGTTGCTAATGCATCTGAGTGAACAACCAGGAGAGACTTACTTTCCAATTTGTACCTATAATGAAAACTCTGCATAGTCGATGTATTTACTCTATATGCTGTTTATCATTTCAATCAATTCTGTTGGTTGCTTCCTTATATGGGCGCCTCCAGCTGAAGCCTGTAACTGTTAGCAAGTGCTGCCTCACATTATTAAGTGCTCAGAAACAGCTGCCAAAACAGCTGGAGAAAATGCAAAACAGCTGATTTCCAGTCAAGTGTGCATGAAACTACAATTCTGCAGTCAAATCCGTCCCTGTGCACTTACAGATTGATTACTGTTTGAATGAGTTTGTGTTTTTCCCAATTAATAAATGCCCACAGGTGCCAGGTTAAGGCGCTACTAGGAGACTCTTAATTGAATCTGTTCTGGGATCAGTTTTGATTATCCGTTGCGTCAGGCGTTACCTTGCAGACGCGAGCCACCCTGGCCACGTTGGGCTCGGTGTCGCAATCCAGCTCCATGGCTCGCTCGGTAAAGAAGAAGTAGATCTTGTCGTCGTCGCCCTCTTTACTGCCGCTGCTCTCCCTCACCAGGGCTGAGCCCACAAAGTCAGGCTCTGCACATGCAACACACACAATCAGAATCAGATATTTACATGGAAACACGGAGACAGCCTCGCCCTGCAGGACTGAATCACAACAAAAACAGGTGTAAGCACAAAAGCTTGACACCTCTATTTCATTCCCTGACACCCTTTCTCACCTCTTTGTCTTCTGTCATTTTCTGTCATCGCGCTTCTTCTTCTCAGCCATTTTTACTCTCTGTGTCTCTACCTTTTTGTTAATGGTCCATTTTCTGTGTGTGTGTGTGTGTGTGTTTGCGTGCATGCACGTTTTTACTTTCTCTAGACACCGTTCTGTTTCTCAGATTGTACTCCTCATTAGGTTCTGAATGTGCAACAGCAGATAGAGACAGTTTTGGACTCGAGCTGCTGGAGGCTTTAAATTCTACAATTTTTATGCAAACGTGTATTTTTTAAATTGCAAGGACACCGTGGTTCCCCAGATGGACTGGTGTTTTCAGTATTAAAGCCTCTGAAGCCGCCTTTTAAATCATCACAGTGCACTACAACTCTCAGCTGAAACCCAGGCCAATTAAATGCTTTTAGGCTGGTCAGAATTGCTTAAATTAAGATGAGGCTTGCTTCCTTGCAGGTCTGCTTTTTAATAAAAGCTCTGTATTAGCATGAATAATGAATGGACATATCAGTCCAAAGCCCTGCCTCAGCTGTATGTTCCTCTTCCCTCTCTCCCTCCTCCGTTCCCCTCATCAGTCCCTCAATCTTTTCATCAGCAATCCTCATATCTGTCTTTCCATCACATATTTTTTCCTGCTGTGATTTCATCCTCTCCTCTCTTCTTCAATTCTGTCCAAGTGCCTGGCTCCTCTCCCCCCACTCAGCCCCCCCTAAAGAGATAACGTCCTTCGCTGCAGCCCAGGCGCGGTCTTCATTTCCTGCAACTCAGTTCTCTTTCTCTTGTTCTTTTACATGTTTCCTGCTCTTTTTTTTATGAAACTCTGTTAAAAGGAAGCGAATGTTATCTCCCTCTATTGTGATTTTTAAAAAATGGAATACAAGTTTAATTTGTCAGTAATGTTGTAACTTGGGGGAAAAAGACTGAATATTATAGTTTAATTCAAACAAAAGTATGCATGACTTGACATTTTTCTTCATCTTTCTTCTGAACACAGCAGCTGGGATTGATTCACACAGGATGAAAAGCGGGTTTCTTACACATATATAAATAACTACCTACAAGACTAACAGACTAACAGTGTGCAGAAACCTGTTGTGTAGTTCATCTTTATTGTGTTTTATATTTGGCCTCATTTGTTCCACATTTTTATTTACAGCCTTAATTTACAGATCATGGCTTGACTTTTAACAGAAAATTTAATATTTTCTGGTATATTAGAATTTATTTAGAATTTGCTAAATATCTGAAGCATCGTTCAGCAGCCGGATCCATGTGAGAATCTCCCAGGACAAAAGATGGAAACTGTTGCGCCTGCTATTCTCTTTTTCGTCCCACCCTGTCTTTCCTCTTCAGCTTTGGGCTCATAATTCCTTTCTTCTTTGCCTTATGTGTTCATTAAAAAAAAAGAAAATCTTACCATTGAGCCAAGCAGGCAAGTATTCGCTCTTCATGCTGTAATGCTGTTGGCCCAGGTTTCTCAGAATGACTGGCTCTGTACCCAGGAAGTTGTTGAGTGTTGCCGAGTACAGCTCCTTATCTGTACCAACAAAATGCAAGCTTTAGTTTCATTCTTTTTTTAGTGACTATTGTACTGGCTTACAATGGGAGAGGGTCAGTGGTTCAGCTGGGAAACACAAATGCTGGACGGTGAATGGGCGCCTGTAGGTTCACTGAAGCTGTCCGCAGTGAAGGGAATGCAGCGTGCAAGTTAAACTGGACTTTTGGACTCTCAGAGCAACAGTATGGCGAGAAAACAGATGGGAAATTCTGCATGAGCAGTTTGTCGAGATTTGATGGACATTTAATGCTTCTTTTAGAGCTGTAAAAACTGCGGGGCTGTTCCCTTCAGTATACAAACTGCTGAGATGGAACAACAGAAGCTGACTGTGTGTTTTTGTTGATAATAGAAGTCAATGAATTTCCACCTAGGGATTTGTCTTGCTTTTTGGGATAAAGTGATTCTTTAACAATCCTAAATCCGTTCAGAAAGATCCAAAAACCTTTACTACTATTCCTCACACATGAATATATACATGGCTATACTTACCCACTATAAGGCCAGTGTGCCCCTTGGCGGGATCATACGGGCATTTTCCCTTCCCATCTTCCAGGGCTGCAGCGTTGAGGGTAAAAGAATCTGCATTCTGCAAACGTGCAAAGATTCACACGCACATAATGAGGATCATCAGTACGTATTGACCTACATTGCACAGCTGCAAGGTCTGTCTGTCCGTTGCAAGGACCAGATCTTCACAGCTCGCCATGTTGTCTTGTTGCATCAATGTCACACGATATGCGTGCACGTGTACGTGCACGGGCCTTCACACGTTGGGCTAACCTTTGCCTGAGATGCTTATTTTCCATTGCATTTATTTTTATTTTGTCACACAGTGGTCTTTGCCTCAGGTCAGGTGGCAGAAATCTCAAGTAGACACCTGTCAGCACAGGCTCGCTGTGACTTGCTATCTAGGGAGTTACACGTGTACTTACCACGTAAGTGCATTTGGGCTGGAAGGCGTAGGTGCCGCAGGTGTAGAGGAGTGTGTGGTTGTAGCTCTGGAGGAAACGGATGTAGTTGAAACACTCGGTCTGTGAGAGAGTGACGAGGAGTTATTTGAAAGGCAATCGGAGCAGTTTTATCCTCGGCTAAGGGGAGAAACCTATTCCACCACAAAGACTTTCAGAATACTTAACACATCCTCTGAGATTTAGCTTTACTCCAAAGCTTTGCTGTGAATTCTTCTGGATCCTCACCAAACTTGAAAATGCTTCCAGATAAATTCATGTATTAAGAAGGTGCAAAATCGGCCTACATTTACTTTGATGATTTACTTTGATATCAGTGAATATAAACGTTACAGTCCAGTGCCAAAATTTAGGATACACTCAAGGTGGTGAAACAACAGAATCATTAAAGTAAATGAGAAAGATGCCGATACATTTAAAAAATATGTGTCTAAATATCAGAATCATTCATGGGAAGTGCCCGTTATTGTCTGCACTGTGACGAAGAATAAAGCTCTTTGAATGGAAATGGAAACAGACGCTCACACATGAGTCATTCTACTGTAGTAAATAAATCAGTACACCAAGTTTATCTTGCCCTCCAACGAGCTTCAAAACAATATCTCTGTCTCGAGGCAGTAATATGAACAATGTGATGTTTTTAAATTTAGGTTTTCAGCTCAATGCGGTCGCTGATGTAGCATGAGATGTGTCTGGCAGACAGTCCTCCATCAAACTACAATGCTACATAAAAAGAAAACCAATTAAATGTAACAACAGGCATTTTTAAGTGCCATATGGTGATTCCTACGTAGTAAGTAAATTAACACATGAAAGCACTGTGAGATATTTTTATAGTAGATAGTAGATCAGCAGAATAAAAGATGAAGAACAAAAGGAATGTTTACAGCTCTCCCCATCACAGCCCAGCATACTATAGAAAGAGGAGTTTTCGATCTTCAGAAGGTAAAGTTTGAGTATGCATTAGGTTCTAATGAATATTTAAAATTGCTTGAGTCTTTTTAAATCTCCAGTTGCACTAATTTCTAAGCATATAAAAATATCTTTTTTTTTTCTTTTTTTTTTACTTCAGTTGGAGGCCGTTTTAGTTAAAGAAGTGCTACTGCTGCTGCTATTGCACTCCAGTGAACTATTACGCCCTTACTCCTTCAAACCCCATCAAAAGTTACGACTGATCAAGAGAAGCTTTAGCTTTATTTCAAAAAGCGCTGTGTGCTTCTATAAAATATTTAACATGACTTCTTGCAGATCATGCTTCCTAAGCAGTGAGAGGTTTTTGCTGAGACTAAAGTGCAGAGCTAGCAGGGACCAATTTACACAGTTTACAAATGTACCATAACTGGTGGTGAGAACTGGAGGATGCTGAATTTTAGTATTATTACAGTGCTGAATATAATTGTAACAAAATTTTCAAAACCAAAAGACCTATTGAGGTTTGTTTGGGATTACTGTGTTACATCTTTTATATGTCATATCAAGAAAAAATACATGTATTAAAAATAGCTTTTTGATATAGAAATAGGTAAGAAGACAACGCTATAATGGAAAACCTTGGGGACTGAAGAAGCAAATAAAAAAAAAGTAAAAAACAAACAAACTGCAGTTCCTTTAGTGGCCACTTGGAAGTTTCTCCATAGCTCCAAGGTTGCCCAGTTTTATAACAGATGGAAAAATACTTACAATCTGTCAGTTTGGTACAAAAATTGATGCTCTTTTTAAAGTAATTCCTTCTGCATAACAACTGTACATAGTATTGTCTTTTAATACACCTTTTTAAGTTGTATAAAAGCCTTAAATGTAAGGTGTCTGGACAGTTTTACAAACAGGTGGATGCTGACAAAGGTGGCTGCACCCTTCAGCATGACCTTCCTACGTTTTTAATTGAAATGATCTGCCTGTGCTCCAGTTGTGGTGAATGGAAAATCTAGTATTTTTTGTGTGCTAGGCTATTAGGCACTTGCTGGGATCTGTGCAATACAATTATAGAGTTGATGAATTTACCTTGGCTAGCACTCCACCCTCTTGAAAACAACAACAAGAACAACAAAAATTGCTTTACAGTGGTTTGCAGTCTGTCTGTCTTCATCAATATAAAGGTATGGCCAGCCAGAGGTGAGCATAGCTTGTCATATTTATAGCCTGGAAACAACCTGTTAGCTCCTCTACAGCTAGCTAGCCAACACGCTAGCTGTTTGTTGCCTACTTAATTCATATGAAATAAACCACAGACATGTTATATACTGGGTTGTTTAGTAACGTAAGAAATAACCCATGTAAAATCACAGTTACACAATAGTAGATAGCATCATGTCAGCTGTTTCCCTCCACTTCCTCTGTTAGTGTTAGGCTAAGCTAAACAGCTGCTGTTTACATGTACTGTAACTTTCCCACACAGATACAGGATTACTGTTAATCTTTTTATTCAACCCTTGACAAAAAACAAAATGTGTTTTATTTACTTGTGTTTGTTATAACATAATTGTAAAATGGGTTATATAAAAGCAGGTTGCCTTGCAGTGCAACCAATTTTTCATAACATTCCATCATTGTTGGAGAAAGACTTCAGTATCTCTTTTGTTGCTTAACGTAAAACACACACACTGAACCACCTTAAAAGTTGCTGACCCTGTCTGGAAGATGCACGTTCTCTGTGTGCTAATGTAATGACTGGAAGCTTTCCAGTCTGAAATCCCAGACCGGTTTGATAAACTGTAATTGAGTGAGTAGAGGAGTGAGTAATGTTTTCATGCTCTTAGAAATGATTGTCTTAGAAACTACTGCTGCGCTGCCCTTGAGCAAGGCAGGTAACCCCAACAGCCACGTCAACTGAGTTCTACATTACCTGGTTGTTTTTGCCCTTGGCAACACATTCCCTCTTCTTGTCCTGCGGAGCTGGCCAGTCAATCTGGAGAAAGGAAAGAAACAGATGGAATGATGTTATTTGCCTTTTGCCCACAAGTAATATAGCTGTAAGTGTGCTGTCTATCTGTATGTAATATACTGTGTACATACTGCATGCTGTAAATAGGGAAAGAAATTGCCTCATTTGTCTCTAATAAGGTGCACACCGAGACACAGTACCGCAAAAAACAGTCCTTTCCTTTTTTGCCATTTTGTCTAACTCAGCCACTGGGCTCTGTATTCTTAACCACTAGCTGCAGTAACTATAGCAACAACCACCATCTCACAAAAGCAGTATATTTGACAAATACAGTATAGTTCAAAATGTAAAAATCTCAAAGATGATCTCTACCAAGAACTAATGAGAGTAGATGCACTTGGATGCTAAGAAAGGCCTAGTTCAGAAAGATGTATTACACTAGTTCTGAGCTAAAGATACAGTAAAGTTAATTAAAACAATCCACCAACTGAGCTGCCCAGGCGGTGCAGAGAAAAGCCACGGGGTTCTTTCCCTGGCAGTCGTGTTTCTGCCTGATCAAACACGCGATTTGTGTTAGGTAGGAAGCCGTGAGGTCCTTACTGCGGAACAATTCTCTGATGATTGTAGCATTGTTTAAAGGATCAAAGGCAGACTGAAAAAGGTTCAAATTTAATGCACTTGTACAAACTACCTGTCTAGCTATGAGCTTTTATCCTCCAAAAGGTACATTTTTTTGGTAAAAATGTAGGGGGGAAGCAAATAAAAAAAGGAAACATGCACATTCTTTCACACTTTATACGTCCATACTTACTGTTTAACAAATAAATGTTGGTAATTATTTACAGTAGCTACTTTTTTGAAACTGTAACACGTGGCTGAACTTTGCTTTGTGGACACAAATCCAGAGTATGAACTCTGTTTACTAAGAGGTTTCCACACCATTAAAAATAATTATACCAGTCATTACAGGCAGAGAGCAGCAGCATATTCAAAATTAAACTGATTTACTCGACTGGATTTGAACCAACAGCAGTCAAACTGGGTTTTTGCCATATAAACACACGCATAGATAGACTGCTGTTTAAAAATGAGATACAAGTTAAAGCAATAGTGGCTTTTAATGGTAAAAAAGTATGTTTCTTTATTGGTTTCACAAATGTACTTTGGTGTTAGTAGCCCTTATTGAATATTCTGTGTTCACTAGGCAGATGATAGAGCTCCAGTGGTCAAGGTTTAATAAGTGAATAATCATCAAGATCAGTGACTATGAAATATCACCTGTAGGATCTGCAGCTTTAACTAAAGAAAGACCAACTAAAATGAACCAGTCCAGCAGCTTAGTGTTGCTTCCTATCCAGTCCTCATTAGTCACCAGTCATCCCAGGAATTTTTTGCAATTCCCCCTAACACATTAAATATTAGAATAACTATACATTCAGATGGTAGTACTAGCTACCCTCAGCACCAATACCTAATGGCTTATAAAGACAAACCCTATCTAAATCACATTAATGCACTGCCTTAATGATGTGCAGCAGCTTTTAAAACCCTGTTCAGAATTGGCATTAACATGCATCTTGGGAGATCTGATCAAAGCGGACAGCTCCAAGCACACCAGTTCACACCTGGCATTAGAATGCATCTCCACATGTGTCTTGAGTGGCCACTTTTGATTGGATTTCATTTCCCCACTCTATATGCAAATAAATGTAGAACTTGCATCATTTCAGTCTGCAAAGACCAAATACTCGTGTCCTGCATGGGTCAAATTTTCCAAACCTGTCCTCCCCCGCAACTGCATAGCACATTACTGGAACTGACCTGTTACCTCCATTTAAGATGCGGGCCCACACCGACGTGCTATTATAAGTCCTACAACCTGTGTCGGTGAATATGCACGCGGGCTACACAATCATTCCCTTCAAAGCGTTTTATTTTGCCTTGCACAGCTGGCCGGCAGCCTTATGCAAAATGAATGTCTAATAATATCCTAAAATATGAATTGGTTTATTTAAAACTATGATACAGCTTCAAGAGAGTCATTTAAAAAAATTGGACAACTAAAGATTTGGTTGAATAGCTGCATACAAACGGCGATATTTGGATATAAGGTCAGTTAATAACTGTCATTAACTATAACAGCCTTACTGACTATAACAAAAACATGTAAATCGGTGATGTCCAGCAAAAACATGACCAGCTGTGAACTGAGCGGTGGAAGGATGTGATGTTTCATAATTGAAAATAATAAAAAAAAATCTGGCAGTTGATTTGGGTGCTTTTAATGATCTGTTATCAGTAAAGTCATCTAGATGTTAATGCTGTGGTACAGCCATTATTTCTGCAGAAAACAAAACAGCTTTTGTTCCTATCCTGTTGCCCCTGCTTTTGATTCAATGTCAACAGTTTGAGTTGTGTAGGACCAACCTTCAGTTTGGCCAGGACCAATGTTCCCTCTAAGCTGTGCACGTGCGCACTGCTGGCACGGTCTCTGCGCACAGAAAATCTGCGTTGCGCACAAAAAAAAACATCTAACCTGAATTGAAATTAAAATTAATACTTTAACAATTCTGTTTTGCGGTGTTAGTCAGTAAGTGACTGGCTGCTCCCGTATGGGATTAGAACGATGCCACCTTATCCCATAGTCCAGCCAATAATGCGATTCACATTCGTATCAACGCAGCTAATCAACGTGGTTGACAGGCTATGACAGCGTCCGTTTGTGTCGACACTGGTGTTTTAGCTAGCAAAGCAATGTGGCTGATGTGGAGTGAAGCAAAGTTAATGACAACGTGTACAACCATTGGAGATGTGAGCAGGAGAGACGGAACAATTGATGGAAAAAGTGTGGACTTTATACCAGTTTCGATTTTGTGTTGATAGGCCACGTAAAACCAGAGTTATGATAAAAATATATGCAATGTTTGGTTTTCTTCCTGAATTTTATCGTTGTTTACATTTACTGCGGGAAGAAACGGTAAAAACAGCGTTTTATAAGGAAAACGCTCGAAAGCACTCTCTGCCTGTGAGCAAAAACAAAACCAAAAAACCCACCCTTTCATATTCGTCCATGTCGACCAATGAAAAAATGATATGGCAACGTGGCATCTAGTTGTTAAGAAACGGGGGGAAGTTTTAGGAGTGACGGTGGTGTTTTGAGATGTGAGAGATTTGAGACGTTTAGCGCAAATCTTGTGAAGTGAGTGTGTATTGTAGTCAATAGTTTTGTTGTGTGTGTCAGAACAATGAAGCGACTGCTGAATGTTACAGGTGCTACAGGAGTGATACATCTCCTGTTGTCAGGCCTGCAGGTATCAGGCTGTTGTTCTCCTTTATCTCATAGTGGACAGAAATTATTTTTTGGAGTGGCACAAATAATTTGTGTGGCATCAAATTTGATGCAGAACAGCTGATTGTTCTGTAAATAGTTTGAAATGTTTATTTAAAAAACGCCTTGGCTGCATTTAAAACAGCTGCAAAAAACTTTGTTTGCAAGACTCAGTACTATAATACAAGTCAGAGCTTTATAAAAAAAAAAAAAAAAAAAAAGTTGTGTTTTCAAAATTGGAGTTCAAGTTATTTTTACTTCCAATAGTGTTAACATACTACACAGGTCAATGACAGATTTTTTTACATTTTCATTGTAAGTGGGCTAAAGCAGTTAATTAAAAGTAGTCTAACATAAATGTAAATGCTGTAATTTGATTATTTTAATAAACCATGTAACTTGGATGGATTAGATGTGGCGTGACCACAGTGCACACGTCTGATGTCGCTCACAGTGGTCCAAGGGATCGCTCAGGGAGTTTGTGTGTTCGCTCAGACACATGAAAAATTAGAGGGAACATTGGCCAGGACACATCCATGTAGACCAGCGTTCCCCAATCGTACCGGTTCGTGAGTCCTTTGGTACCGGGGCATGACAGTTGAGGCTCGGGTGTCAAATTTATGGTTTACAGGATTTTTATCGGTTTTTAGCATCCTCATTTTTATCGTTAACTCAGTTTCCCTGGGTCTTTTCCTGTGTGTTATGAATAAATATTCTATTTTTTTGTACCAGTACTGGTTTTATTTTGTTGTATTTATCCACGACACCTTTAAGGCCGGACATAAACCGGTCCGTGGTGCAAAAAAGGTTGATCGCTGATGTACACAGTGCAGAAAGAATTTGGCCACATGCCCTGAATGTGGTCTGAGAGGTGTGGTCTCATTGAATATTGGATGCACTGCTTAGGTTTGTCCATTCTGACTGTATCACATGGGTGCAAAAGACTGGCTAAATGACACGTGGAAGCACCTCATAATGATCTCAAGACATAATTCAAAAATATACCAGACTGCTTTCTATTCAATTGAACAACGAGGTTTCCTTTCACATAGCCTTTGAAATTGTGCCAATTCAGTCAAAATCCTGTATGCCGCAATTTCTGGCAGTTTATCATAGACTATTTAATGACAGAGTACCTGCTCTGTTTTACAGTCCAAGATACACACCATATGAGCAGAGCCTTAGACAAGTTTATCAACTTAAAAAAAAGTTTCTTTCGAAAGATCCTACAGTTTTTTTTTACAGTGTGGTTATAATACAACAAAAAAACTCATTTATTTTGGGAAATAGCACTATTACAGGGCCACTTAGTTTCAGCATTTTGAAATGCTCTGGTAGTTATCGGCCATTACGTCAGCACAAATAACGCTACCGGTGCTTTGGCCATTAGCAAACCCGCGAAAACAGAAGTGGTTCGCAAGTAACAGAAAAATATTGGTTAAACTATTTTGAGCAAAGGCGTGTGGATCTGCAAATGTCACATCATGTAACGTACCAATGGGGTCAGTTATTCACAAATTAAGAGCAGTGTAATAAGTTTACTGTGTGGAAGTGGGCTCTAAATTGCCAGAACAAGGTGAACTGGTCCATTAATGGAACTGACTGAAATTCATGAAAGAAAATTATTCAATGAAATAATCCACAGTCATCACGGGGAAAGAAAATAACTAAATAATGCAGAAGAAAGCACTTCAAACACAGATGGGAGCTGCTTGTCTTGAGAAAGTCTAAATGCTGAGAAAAACATCCCTAGAAAATATCCAGGGAAGAAAGACAGACAGCAGCAAAGAAATAAAAGAGAAGCAGTTAAAGCAAAGAAAGGAGGGGGTGAGAGAGTGATGGGCAGATGGTGACAGAGGGGCTGGACTATTCCCTCGTCCCTGTTCAGTTATTTTTCTGACTTGGCTTCTTCCGTCTACATTGCACACTGGGGGATGACAACAGGTGATCTTATCATTACTGTAAGACTCATAACCCTCACTCAAACAGCCTGCGGCTGAGCCAGGGTCTTTCAGTCTGTGTGGGTATGTGTGCGCATCCAATAATTGCTCATTACAGCAGTAAATCAGATAGCAATCCCCAAACTGCTGCAGGCTGCTCACTACACCTTCATTGCATTGCTGTAATTGTATTGATCGCAATATGGACCAATTATTGAGGGAACAAAGCAAACCCAGATTGAGCCTTTGAGGGTTTAGCATCTCTCTGTGTGCAAGTGTTTGCGTGTCAGGTCAAGTCAAGGGTATTTATAGAGTGCTTTAAAGAAACAGGTTTACCCCAGAGTGCTTTGCAGAAAAACAAGATCCACAAATTAAAACGAGGATGGTAAAAAAAACAAGACTGAATGAGTGCACCACGAACTCTGAGGAACAGGACCAAAGCCTGGGCAAGGGTGTGTGCGAGTGCCTGTCTACTCCCACAAATTCACAGTGGATATGTTTGTGCTGATAGAAGTGAAATATTGGAGGCAATAGCTGCACACATTATCATCTTAATATCTGGCAGCCTACTTACAGCATTGCTGTGTGCAAATTTCAAAATAAGACTAGTTGAATAACCTTGCAAAACAACTGTAAATCATGATTACAAAATATTTAGAGCTTTAATTTTATAAAGACCATTTTTAAAATTTGCCAAGATGGCTCTTATTTATGACTGTACCAGTCTGAAGATATTTTATTGTATTTTTTAAGGCTTAACTCAGCTGAGGGATCTATAGAGCTAAAATTCTTCTTTTTTTCTAGCTAGCTAGCTTAACTAAAATAACTGCTAGCTAAACACACATATCACCAGACCTTCAGCCAACATTAAAGCTAACTTTGTCATAAAACCATTTTTATGACAAAGTTACCATTAATACACTTTTTGTTAACCACCTTCTCTGTACAATGTGAAGTGCAATGCTGTAGCATCAATATACTTTGGTAAGGATAGCTATGCTGCCTGATAAGCTAGCATTAGCAAAGCCAGCAAGAGTCTTACAACTTTATAATCTATCATACTTTTATCTGTACAGCATTATGTTCAAGTTCCTGTTTGAATTAGGATCATGCTTTTTAAAATCTCCTTGTACTTATCTTGCATGCTTATGTTTTAGTATAAATTCGGTCTTTGGCTCTACATAGCCAATGGGATCAGTTATTCACAAATTAAGAGCAGTGTAATAAGTTTACTGTGTGGAAGTGGTCTCTAAATTGCCAGAACAAGGTGAACTGGTCCATAAATGGAACTGACTGATGCTAATACAATGGTGTGCTGTTTCCTGCTCTTTCAAAAAAAAAAAAAAAAAAAAAAAAAAAGCTTAAAAAATACATGTGGGCCAATACTAAGGCAACGCAGTTTCTTTATTGAAATGTTGACACACTGGAAGCACACAGCTCTTAATATATTTTATTATATTCTTGGCCCTTCGAGGATTATTACATTTTGAGAATGTATTCATTTGCGTGGTAATTTTTACAATCTAAGCTTCAATGTGGCCTGCAGTGTTAAGAAAAAATACAGGCCAGACTGACAAAAGACCCAACAACTAGTATTACTCAGTCGACTTTGTTATTGTACTATAAAGTCCTTTGATTGCCTGCCAGAGTATGTCCAGAGTATGTGCTCTCAAATGTCATTGAGTCCAAAAGGAAAAAAGAATAGAATAAGGTCATTCTGTTAGTTAACAGACTTCAAAAAAGTGTGGCACAGGCAGAGATTATGTTTAATGTTTTTTTCCCTGTTCATCCAAGCTGAACCTTCATCATTTTTAAAGACTTTCTATAATAATTCTATCACACATGATATCATAATTGAATTTGGTCTGTTTAAATTAAGCATTTGAAATGTGTGTTTATCTCTGCGGCACTCTGTACCAAGTCGTGCGGAGGATGTTTTTTGTTCCTGAACTGTCCATCATGAAGCAGTGTGATATTAAATCTTATGTGTTATCATTTAATTTGTTGCATTTCTACAAAAGAGTTTGAGAATGCGTGGGTGTTTGCAGTGGCAGTCGGGTGGTAATTATTTTTCTTGAAATCCTTCCTTGTCCTTATTGAACTGTAATGTATTTGTATCTCTTTCACTGTCAGAAAAAAAGCTTTTAAAGTGCGTTCATGTGCTTATGTGCGCTTTACCTGTGGCCTTAGCTGTCTGCTAATGTCATTGGGGTCCAAGGCGAACAAAGCCTCCCGTGCTCCGACGTACAAGACCCTCTCGTGGTCAGACAGAGTCAGCATGCTGTAGTTGAACACTCCCGGCACGCTAAACCTGGCCATGCTGTCCAACACATCTGGATCAGGGGACACAGAGACATCGGTGCATTACATCACATGATAACGCATAGCTGCATTTCTTTTGGCTGATCTGTTGACAGATGAATAACACCTGAGAGGAACATTTCACACTCTCCTTCGTGAAATTTGTTGACGTCTCAGCTCATTCGCACCTCCAAGCCTCACCCACTCCACCGCCTATAGATTAGCATCATCCACCACGATTCATCTCTCCCACATCCTTTTGCTAAGATTTTGTGTTGTGCCAGCACACAGCCATTAAATGCTACCCAACAGAGTGCTGCCTGTGCCATGAGAGGTTTTTTTGGTGTCACTAAACAAAAAGTTGATACATACTTTTCGGTTTATGTTCATTAAAATGGTCTGAGAATGAACTGCACGTCGACTGGTCTGGGCTCTGTTTTTGTGGCATCATAAAAATGTTCCCCCCCCCCAAGATTTAGTTTAACTGACAAAGATTTTAATTAAAACAACACAGCTGAAGTTAGGAAGGAGGTCAGACACGTCAGGTCTTGAAGAGTTTGCTGAGACTACCCACAATATCTAGCTTGAAGATCTCCTGTAAATTATTCCTGCACGATGGAGCACTGCAGAGAAAGCTTCCCAAGCTCTGTATTTACTTTGAGAACCTGGAGCAGAAGCCGTGTCTTCGGGGAAAGGCTGATAAGTTCCAGATCTACATGTCAGCAGCGAGATAAGGCCGGCGTCTATTTAGAAAAGCTGTGCAAATAAACAAGAGGCAATGATGCTCTCTCAGACCAGCCCTTGTTTTGATGAAGAGTGCATGGGTGTGTACCATTACACCCAAACATTATGAATCTAATAGCACAGTTTTCCAAAATCTAGAGCTTTTAAAGGGAGCATATCAATGAATGCAGATGATTGATCTAGGGCTGATATAAAGACTGAAAGAGCGCACAATCTGCAGAATCGCAACTAACTTTCAACGGCTTCAATCAGCCGGCGCTTTAATGCGAGTTTTAAAAGTGCGTTTGCTATGAGCCAGAAGCCGAGATGTTTGTATTCATACACTTGTTCAATAAAAATTCCATTAGGAGAGGTAGTTTTCAAATTGAGAAAATCGACTAATCTTGTTTTGGAAAACAACTTAAATTGTGTTTAGCCTCAATTTAACACAGCTTTTAGGCCAGAGATTGTTAAAGCACTTATAAACTCAGCATTGCAGTATTACAAAAAGAAGAAGAAGAAAAAATCCTCATTCTTTGAAAAGGAGCAGAGTAATCCAGGCTATACAGAGCAGCAGTACACAACAATACAGGGATTTAAAGTTGGACCTGTTGGCATTATTATTTCAAATGGAAAATGCAAATGAAAGCGCGATTGGAATCTTGCACTCCCACACGTAGATCACATTTTAATGCAAGGCTTTACGAGCCCATATAATGCTTTGTTTATACAGCTTTTTGCACGTGTAAAAGGTCTGCAAACTCCTCAAAGCAGTCTGCTTTTTATATACTTGCCAAAGCCATACGTCTAATTTTGCACAGCACAACAAAAGTTTTGCTGTCAGCTGCTAGAGAGAACATTCACTCCTAGAACTAGAGGAAGTGAAGACGCAGTGGCTTATTTATTTTTGATGGCAGAACCTTACATTATTATAACATTGCTTGAACAGAGCTATATCTCTACATTATGATGCTGAGGGACAATTAGAAACTTTTCACATCGACTTTTGTGCTACAGTGCACTCCATGCCGAGCTGGCAGTGTTGGTAGTGTACCCCAACCATCCACATGTGTGAAAAGGCGACTTGGAGAGCGCAATCTAACAGACTAATGAAATATTGCTGTAAAGAAAGAGATTCGGATATGCATCTAATATTTGCACAGCTCATCTCTCCAGAAAGCCTAATGACATTTTTGAATAATCTTTCTGACAAACGGCGCTCTGCTTTTACCATTACCTTGGAAATAGGAGAAATAAATGGTCTGACACAAGAAGTTTGGTAAACAGTACTGTTACTAAGTTGCTTTTGCAGGACTCTGCCCTTGTTCTGAACTCAGTTCTGGTCTAAACACAAAGGGCTTTTGTGAATTGAGTGCTGCACCTATAATCAAAGAAATAGAGTACAACCTGTCAGTCAGAGGAAACTGTACGAACGCATAATATGGGAATTCTAGTTATGGTCCTTGTAGCACACTCTGTGGAGTGGCTCCATAGTGTAGTGGTTTACGCATTTGCCTGGTTTGATCTGGGGAGGAGACGTAAAAGCTTTTGGGGTTGTGTCAAACATGTGGAGGCACCTGCTGTGGTGCCCCTTGTAAATAAAAGAACAGCTGAAAGTAGCACCACATGGTTATATAATCAATCTAATGCAGCGGTCCCCAACCCCCGGGCCACAGACCGATACCGGTCCGTGAGTCGTTTGGTACCGGGCTGCGAGAGTTGAGGCTCGGGTGTGAAATTTAAGGTTTTCAGGGTTTTTATCGTTGGCTCGGTTTCCCTGGGTCTTTTACCGTGTTGTAGTTGTGTGTCTTATTTTGAAAGAAATATTTACGCGTTACCATAGCGACCAGAGAGCATTAAGGGGCAGAAAGGAGGACGTTACGCTCAATGTTGTTGGCGCATTTCACGAGGACGCTGCTAATAAAGTTACACACAGTGAATTTGTGTTTACTATTATATTTACAAAATACCACAGTTTTTGTCTTGGTCGTATCATTTTATTTTGTTGTATTTATCTGCAACACCATAAAGGTCTGTCCGTGAAAATATTGTCTGACATTAAACTGGTCCGTCCTGCAAAAAAGGTTGGAGACCGCTGGTCTAATGTGCTTATATGTTCTTCATACTTAGTTCATGGACTGTATGTGAAAAAAGTGACTGAGCCACGTCATTGTGGACTACTGTCTTGAAGCCTCGCATTGAACATTTTGCTCGTGGTTCTTTGAAAATAAAAGACGTAGGTGAGTGCTTGAACTTGTCATTAACCCTCTCAGGTTCTACGTCATCGCCGTGATCCTAACCGTTAAGTGCGTCCAAGTCATCAGAGGTTTACCACCTTTTATTCTGCATTAAATCTGTATTGAAGACACAAAACTAGCGACTGAAAACATAACTGATCAGGAAATAACGTCTCAAGTCAGACTCTTTTTCTTCTATTCTTCTATACAAGTCACCCCCTGCTGGCCATTAGAATCCCTTCTACAACACAAGGCTGGTTTTCTTTCTCAGCTGTTCCTGCAACTACTGCTGTAATTTGATTAAAATGACAAAATATTACTTAGCTCTTGTCAACTCAAGCTATCATCCTTTGACATGAAATAGCTGAACTGATTTGATTCATTCCAGGATTGTTTAATTTGTTGTGGATTACTTGCAATTTGGGGTTGTTTGTCTTTTTTTGCTGCTCACAGGCTGACACAAACAATCACAGAAAGATTATGACAAAAATCACAAAATGTTCTCTCCGAGCTCCCATCTGCGGAGAAATAGCTACAGTCGACTTTTTTTCCATAAAAATTTTAAAAAGGCACAGCTACTGTTTTGCTGTTTGCTCTTAGACGCACACACACACATGCCTACATACACGCACCCACATATACACACACACATGCGCGCGCACACCATTCAAATCCCCCGACAAGCATACAGACAAACTAGTGGTGCAGAGCAGAAGGGAAAGCTGAGACAGAGACGAGAGGAAAGAGAAAAAGGATGGTGTTTAGTTTTCATTATCCACACTCGTGTTGCTTGTAGTGTCACCTTGTTCTCCTGCTCCTCCCCTCTCTCGCTTTATCCAGGCTGATAGAATGTGTGCAAAATGCGAGGCGACGACAGCCAGCGCCCGCACGTAATGTGATCTCATATACTGAATAAGGATATTTCTTTTTTTTGTTTTCTATGCCACCAGTATTTTCACATTTTCGCCTTTCCCCCCCCGCTTCAACTGAAAATAGCAGCTGAAATCCAGGGAGGGAGCATCAGGAACCGGTGTGTGATTTATGGTGTGACTAACTGCTCATGTGATGCTGTGGCCTACTTGGGACTAAATAGACTTATATACAAGGAGAAGCCTGTTCTGGTTGAAGGAGCACGCCATGTGTGAGCGGGTTTGTGTGTGCGAGACGAGAAAGCCAGGTTAAAAAAGAAAAAGAAAAAAAAGGAGACATTTTGTAAGCTTGAGAGTGTAAACTATTTAACCCTTACAATGCCCTTGCTTTTAAGGTTCAAAGCCTTTTTTCTATTCTCTATGACCACTTGATACCAAAAACACAATAATGCTGGCACTACAGTTAAGCAGAACAAGGACAAGGGAACATCCCTAACAACCGTTTAACCCCGCCCCCGGCCCAAGATTGCTTTGTTATCTAAGACAATTTCCAAAAAATGCATTGTTACAGCCAACTGGTGACACATTGTCCTGCTTTGCACAGACTTTGATCTCTTCTCCTTTATCTCAAACATATTGAGGCAGTGTTCCACATCTTGGTTGGCTCTGATTCTGTGAGTTTCACAAGAAATGTGTTGCTCTAAAAGGAGATGTGCTGACCTGTGAATGCATCCCTGCTGAAACCCAGAGATGATTGAAGACAGGAGAGCAGCTGAAATAATGGTTTAACAGCTGCTGTGACAGTAATAAGGAATACATACACACAACTGCACACTTTGCTCAACATGTCACTGTTGTTGTTGGGATATAGTCATCCTGCAGCTACATCCTAGACAGGAAAGTTGTGAAATCTGGCACAGTGATTGAAAATAGTCTCATTACACCTCAACTATTCTAGATTTCTTAACTATCTAACTAGCATTTATGTAAGGAACCATGTGTCTGGGGTTTTTCTTTTGGTTAAAGCTAATTCAATGAACCCCAGCACATCAGTTTCTACCATTACCATCACCAGATTATATGAACTAGAAAGTGACGGCCTGGTAACTACTGGGCGCTACTCCCTGACTGCTTGCAATTAGCTGCAGGTAGTTGCTGTAAAATCAATTGCTAAGGCCCCATTCACACGTGACCTAGAGGGCA